CATGCCCGATAAAGCTTACCTAAACCAAGCTGCATCTCATGATGGTCCATCCAACACCTTACCGATTTACATTCAGTGAAAAAGTCACAAACTGCAATTATTTGACGCTCGAATGGCCTTTGTAATTTGACAGTTTACATACCGCAATCCAAACAGTGTTTTACTTGTTTTCTTTTGTTATATGCTTCAAATTTCCTTTATATAAAACTTAGATAACTGTATTTCTTGAATGTTAATTCAATCGCCGTACCCAGTGATGTTGTTGAACACACAGAACTAAGAGCTTATAAAACATAATGAACCTAGAAAGTGCTCGTGTGAAAATCAGAAACTGTCAGTGTATGCCAATCTCAGAAACGATCATAAGCTTTTCTTCAATTTCTTTGGGTTCATATTCTACTGCTATGAAACTTTTTCTATCCTTACAAACATTCTAATATTATCTTTTCCTACTTACTTATCGTGTTTCTAATAAATTTTTCACCCTCAAAATCCTATTTCATATTCACTGACCTATATACCATCTCAACAGTATCTTATAGTTCATACATTTAGCTACCTTCGTAGTAGTGCAATGTACAAATGGATGTTTGACCCTGAAAACGAAGGCTTTAGCTTCCTGGTTTGCCTGTAACATGGAGCTAGTAACAAGAATGTATTCCAACAAGGTGTGCAATATAAAGCTCAGATTGACAAAATATTCATACATACCGCAAACGCAAGAGGGCCTAACATCACAAATGAAACAGCAACCAGAACACTTTGTTTAAATATGACTCCTTATGATTAATTGGTTGTCAAGATCCAATGATATTAATCCTAACTTCATAAGCCAAACACCTCTCTGACTCATACCTGTGACTCCGACATGGTTTCAATATCTGAAGAGAAGTCCTAATGCAAGCAACACTGGACAGTCAGTCCTAATATGAGTCCACTAATGACTTAACAAAAGTATTAACAATAAAAAAGAGTTTTGAAGAAAAAAGCCAGTTGTTAATCAAGAACTGTATTTTCTGTACTAAATGTCGAAAATATACCTAATTCTAGATATTCAGCTCTTTTACATTACCTCCCATTTGTCCGTAAATTTATTCATCCAACATCCTACTAGGACTAGGACTAGAACCCCTCTAGAAAAAAAGGTTTAGGTCTAACTTAATTTCTATTTCAAACTCCTTAAAAACCTTACATATTCCACATCTAATATAGCTCTCTACCAAGACTCACATGGATATAACCTTCCAGACAAAGTATCCACTGTTAAAATTGAGAAACACGTGAAAACTTCTTCCTTATCAAGTACGCATTGATATGGAACAGTCTTCCTTCTGAAATACGCATGACAGACAAATTACATACGCTTGCAAGACTCATTGATCAAGTCTTCACCTGCACAGATCTGGCGCAAACGAACACATCCACGTCCCACACAGACATCATAAGCTCTCTACTTATATAGAGTGAATTGCCTTATTTCCCTAACTTGTAGTTGTATTAGATACTTTCCCCTCACTATTTCTTTTCAATTGAAGTAGACAGGCAACTCACTGGACCTATCAATACTCGTTCGCGAAACGACGCTTATAAATACCCTAAAACGTCAGAAGAAACGCACAATCGCCTGGCTACTGCCAGTGGTCGTACAACCACAGAACCTGTCACCCATCAACCGGTTAGCATAGAACAAAACAACCTCAGCGCGAATTTAGTGAGTTACTTCTTGTCTATTTATCAGTTTTTTACTCATCTGTACACTATGTTGCCTTGCCATTAATATTATTTCACCACTCGTTATCTTACCTTATCTGTAACTAATATAAATCTCCACTTTTCCGCCTACTATGGTAAACGAATATCCTACACTATACCCTTCCTAATGCCTATACTCTGATTCGTAACCTACACTTTACTATATAGTCAATAAAAACATAGCATCGAAGCCTTACCCACAGTCCATAATTTGTAACTGTTTGATAAGCTTGTAACATGGTACTTATAGAAATAGTGTTTTCCAACAGGATGTGAAACAGAGCATTGTGTCAGGTATGATATATATCCGAAGAATAAGCGTAAATGAGCCTAACATCACAAAAGGAGGGAGTGTGGAGTTACTGACCAGCAAGCACTGATGGTGAGGGCGATGATTTCAATCCACCCGTGTTTGTGTGGCAGAACATTTTGTTTGTACCAGGCTCTTTATGGATGAGAACAAGTCAAACTAATCCGTGATATTGAGGTTGTTCTCCTACACTCACCACTGAGACTCATGTTTCTAATTTTTGTGCGGGATTAACTATTCTATTAAGACAACCTTTAACATACTAACTCGGACTTTTACATGAAAACTGTGTGGCAGGCATCAGATGATGAAAAAAAACTGACTGTAAAGGATATGGTTGTTATTTTTACTCAACACTCTACTCTCTTTATGCACTCTCTGTTCTTCCTCATTCCAACCTTGACTTCCCTCCTTCATTGGAACCTACTCCACCTTGATAAATATCACAACTCATTGTTCTTTATTACTGCATTCTCTCCTCTGGAGCCCCTAACCACACTTCACTCTTGCAACATGAGCTAGTATCAATCTAATCTAATAATTTATCATACCTCCATCTGTTCCACTAATAAATGTTAAGCATTGGTTATCGTTCGTATCCAAATGCCTTGCTGCTCCTCGGTTTCTTTTTCTTTTTTTTTCTCTTCAGAATCTTGCTCTGAGGGTGAAGCTATGTAACTTCTGACATCTGGAACAAGCTCGACGAACGCGCTTTCCCAAGGTCATAGTTCGAACCAGGCGCTCCACAAGCCTACTTTATAACAACTATAAACTTAAAAAGCTGCATTACATAAGTACTTAGCACGACCGAAACCCAAATACACTTTTTGTCGAGATTGGATCTGGTATGTAACGTGGATGCCATGCCCCTTTGGAAACTATTCTTATGAAAACACATTATATCTGAACGAATGAACTGCAATTAACTTTTACAGATTATAATTACTAAACAACCTTGCCTGGGATGCATACCGTGAAGCAGTATATGTTGTAAATTGTAGATCATGCCTGTAAAAATGGCGTGTAATTGCTATTACAGAAATATATCATTATTATTATTACTGTAGCTTAAGCCACAATTGTTTTCTTTAAACATATGGAATATACCTGGTTATAAATCGACATTCTGAACGAGAATGAGTCTGCTTGTTCCATCACAAACGACGAGAACTTGCCTAGTCAAGAACACCCTCAGTTTTACTACTCGCTCTTCCTTTTGTCTTGCTTTCTTAGCACTCTCATGGTGTATCACTAAAAGAATGTTTGAAACATCTGACTTCATTCTGTGCCAGCACTGACACCTCATGATTGAATCTGGTATCACTGCAGCCATGCATAATTTACCAGTCTTCTACGAGATAAAAGGCCTGATTTGTGGACACAAGTGAATTGGTCAGGCAATTATAAAACAATTGTGCACAATCCTATTGTCCCAGGTAAAAGTCCCTCAGCAAAGCTATGTTTGAAAGAAGTACTCAAACGATATTCAACGACACGGGTGCAGGCAAAATTAAACTATCAAAATCATTAGTGTGGTTTATAAAGTGATCATCAAGTCAAACCTGGCAAAATATTAATCACAATCTGTAGTCATCAATAAGAGGACAGAAAATGTTTTGTACCACGTATGCAGGACTTTTGGAACGTGAATTAGGAAAATCAAACTAGTCCATTGAGCAAAAATGATGTTGAACACAGAGGTGGGCTGCTGATTCTTCCATTATATATAATTACAAATACTCAGATAACATAAACTTCCAGGGACGTAATTGAGGACAATAGGAGAAGACCAATAAATTCGAGGCGTCGCCAAAAACATATCATCAAGTTGCAAGTTGTCCCACAAAAGAAGGAGTTGGTAAGAAACAGACAAAAGCCAAATGTGAATCTGAAAATTCTGGGAAACATTCAATTTAATCAAAATTTCACAACTGTTTCTCAAAAACTTCTAGAAGGTGAAGCGTCCCGTGTTTCATTTCTGACTGGATGCATAACTATCTTACTACAGTTTAAGGTAGGGTACCATTAGCTTTCAAAAGACAATGGGCATCTTAAATGCTATAAATGATCTCAATCACCTGCACATAAACGAGCATTGAAGCAAAGCGCTCTTTCTATATTACAAATCTATTCTTTCGCGTTCATGGTGTCGTGCCCGGGGACATTAGAAGTGAATAAGAAAACTTTTCGAACTTCCAGTCAAACGACTTATCAGTGGCCAACGAATATCTGCCGTTTTTAAAGGACTACTTTGTAAAATCGTGGATAAAGACAATTCATCATTAGAAACACTCAGTCTCATAAGATCGGAATTATAAAATTTAGCATTACCCGAGGCACGATGAACGGTAGTATTATAAACTCCCTGTATGTGTCCAGCTTCATTACATCTAAAGCATTTAGAATTGCGAAATACGTATGAGTTGTGTAAGGGAAACTTGACACAGGGCAGGCTTTTACCAAGCTTGTGCTTATCTTTGTAAACTGCTACACAACTTCTTAGTGAATTGCATCCGCATCACCTTTATTACACATTTGATTGGGAAGACATAGTAACGTGGTGAAACTCTTGACGTTCTGACGAGTCATCTTACTAGACTTTTCTCCTTCACATCATTCGGGATTCGCGCACATTACATTGTCCAGCAGGAATTTCTTGAGAGTTTCGTAGAAAAGTGAAATTGGCTTCTCCGGAAATGACAAAATTTTTAGTAAGCTGTAGGTTTCCTTTCCGATGAATGTAGGGGAGTGAACCATAATAATAACATCCTCAACATCTTCCTTGGTCTTCGTTCAGATTTTGAACCTTTCCACATGATTCTCCAAAACATTTAGATTTGGATGTATGTCCGACTGTACTATCACAAGCTCTATCGCGACTACAATGTGATGATTGAAGTTATTCGAATTATTATGCAAACTACGAATTCGTGAAATCATGCAATTTACAACAAATAGAACTAGGTGAGCACAAATCAACATATTGTATTTGGAATTCAAAATCAGTCACATATCTAGTACAAAAGATTCATAAGCTCATACAAACGCCACAGGAGGTTACGTGTGACATGTTACTGACGGTAGAGCATGAATCCATATAAAATTTAGAGGCCTCAGATAACGCAACCTATTCTGCTGAAATATTTGAACTATTAATGATGGCGCAGAACGAAGTCATACGTTCCATACGTGTTTTCGGGGCTGATCAAGAGGTTGCAGAAAAAGAGAGTAAAAATGAAAGGACGAGATGTGTGATGGGGTAAAAAATAGTTTTACCGAGAATGTTATGAAATAAAAGGGTTTAAATGTGCAAATGAGATTTGTGTTGAAGATAATATAATTATGTTGTTAGAAGCAGAACGTATTTGGGAATCTTTCACGACGCTGCTCAACATATCTCTTTCCAAGACCAATCTCTTGGGGATTGGAAAAATGCAATTTTTAACCTTATATTTAAATATGGAATGAGAAAGACTGTATTTTACTACCGATCTATCAGTCAAACCAGAAGTGTAACCGAGGCATTTTGAAAAATAATCAAGGTTAAGTTACTCAATATGTAGGATTATACATTCCACTGAAACCTGAAAAACACGGGCTTCCGAATAATCATTCATAAGCAACTAACTTATGAATTCCGAGACAACTGGTTGTCCGTCATTATGATATTCTTAGGTCTTAGCGGAGCTTTTATCAATGCTTTCAACTTGTGACATCTCAAGATGTCATTAATATTCGGAGTTCGACAACAGCCTTATCCGTAACACCTTCATAACCAAACGGTACTAAACCAGCCGAATCACCAGTAAGCAATAAACCAGTTTGATGTTGTATTTCGGAAATTGCCGATATGTTGAAAATCTTTTAATCAATTCTGGGCGTTAGTTGCAATTGTTGAGAAGAACGGGATACCCACTCATAATCTGGTGTGGATGCATTACCAAGCCCTTCCCAAAGAAGTGTAATCAGCCTCATAAGTGAATAATGCCACGTGGAAGCTGGATCTTCACCAAATAGCAAGCCATTAAGGTTAACACAGGCTCAATGACTTATTATACTGGCAATTCAGAAGGTTCTGACTAGACTTCAAATTTAGATTCATGACAAAACCTGCTTAAGTTTAGCTCCAACACAAGTCTAAGGAGTAACACCCGGAAAATGCAGATACAACACAGCAGAAAGGAATGTAGACACAACTTCTACTGCTTAAGAGTAGTTAAATACTGGAATTCTCTGCTGGCTGAGCCAGTCCAAGCTACTTTCCAGGAGTCTTTTAACAGAATACTCGACATAATTTCAAGGACTAAGGATAGTATCCTACTATGATTTACCGATTTCTTTTTCATCTCTTATCGTTATTACACCTATGTTACTACCTGGAGGTATCGGTGTTCCACTGCTACTAGACACAGAGCCCGTTAAACGAAACCTTCTTCTATCCCGTCCACTACCACTTGAACCTTTTGAATCACACAGCATGCGCTATTTGTAAAGGATATTTTTATTATTCCTCTGGGTTCATTTCGTATTATTAGTCGTTAAACCACGTATAAAGACTTCCGTTTTTGCTTTAATTGAATTTATTTTAGTTGAAGTTATCATCAAGAGTACTGCTCTTTTCTAAGGAATTTTATTATTCGTATTTGTCGGGTACAGATACAATAAACTGAAGTCACTAGAACTTACTTTTTTGTTGATTATATCCCCGAGTATTTTTTTTATCCATAGGTGTTAAGGTCTTTTTGTAGCCACCAAAGTCTTTCTTATTGCTGTTTGAGATAGTTATATACAAACCTCTGTTTTGTTTGTGTTCAGTGTCTGTCACCTTTAGAGCTATAAAAAACACTCAATCTAGAGATCGGTTTTCACTGTGAGATCACACAAATTTATGGCACAAGCAAAACATCTTTGTAGCAGATATGCATACTATCTCCCTATCGATATAGGATGCAATGTAATGACTGGAAAAAATCGTATCACAATACATGCACAGGACTCACTCCGGCTGCATATAAAGGGCGCTACAAGCCACTACCACACTGGCCATGCAAAGCATGTTGTTCTACAAAGATTCTGCTAGTTCAAGCTGCTGAACATAGCTAGAAAATTACCCTCAAATAAACAGGCAGCAATATATGGGCAGATCTCTGCTATCAAAGGAATACAGAGTGTTATCATGAGCTCAGCTTCGGATTTCAATGTGACCATAAATATGGACCCCGTCGGGAAAGCAGATAACAAACATACGGATGTAGGCATGGTCACAAGGGAAAAAGAAAAAGCTCACAGAGTAAAAACTAATTATAGACATTACTAAGGTATGTTAATCTAGGGTTTCAGTTTCCGATTCACATATCAGCAAAAAACAAACTTTGGGGGAGTCAAGTCTGAGCAGTGTAGAGGATGAGGTCTAGAGACAAAATAAGGTCAATGAGTGGCTCACAGCCACACCCTGGAAGGAGACAGAATGCGACTTCTACGATTGATGCCAAATTAGAAACGGATTGTAGGGAGAGACAATTTCAGGAATTCGAATTCCACAGCGTGACCTCACTGATTGGTCAGTCATTTTTCACAAGTTAGGCAGACAAGCAAACAAAGGCTAGATTTGAGCACGATCTCAGTCACATTAAGTCTTTAATAAGCAAGCTACTCTCAGAAACGGTTCCAGGAGTTAGCACTTTCAATCTTTATAGAATAGGACAAAATGTGGATTCTGAAGATACTCAGAAGAGCCGCCTATTGAAGGCTACTTTTGCCACGGTTGAAGAAAGAAATGTGATACTTGGAAACTCACGCTAACTGATTGGAATATACGTCTATGAGGATTTCAGTCTGGTCGACCGTATAAAGAGGTGAGCTGCAGAAGTAGAAATAAGTGAGTGCCGCAGAAACGATGAAGGAAACCTCGTCCTTAAGGGTCTTCACATTCTAAACGTTCGAAACCGAAGCATCCTTAAACCACTTTGGGTGGTAAGGCAAAGTTCTCCACAGAATAAAAGGCGTGCTTCACAAATACTCACAGTCAACTAAATAAAATGTCAAAGCTCAATACAGCGACGGACATAGATAAACTGGATGTTATTGCTGTTTCCAGCTCGCTCTTAGTCTTTACACACGGTGACGACATCGGTCAAAGGGCTTTCTTGACACCTCTAGGAAGAGCCGGTCATGTGGTCATCTTATTCAAATTCATGAATGAGGTGGCCTGTCAACTGGTTTCGCCGGCCCGTCCTAACATATGGAAGGCAGACATGGAGGCAATCAACTATGTAGCATCGGCCAAAAGCTAGGAATTAGACTCACAGGCATCAGTAGAAGAGGCATGGACATATTTCAGGCAGTTATGCAATCGGGCAACTCAACCACATATGCCCTGGGCAGTCCCGAAGAAGAAGAAACCGGGCCATCCCTGGATAAGCCGGAATATTCGACGTTTACTAAAACAAAAGAAGAAATGTTGGAATGCTGCCATCAGCCATGGCAGAGCACGTAAAGTGGAACTACCAATCGTCAAGAAACCAGTGTATAATAAAAATCCGGGAATCTCAGAAGAAATATGAAATGAATTCGACATCATTTGTGCTCAAGCAATCCAAGAGACAACTCCGCCTGTAGCTCCTCCGGGGGCTATTGCCGGTCCCATGTCCGGATAATGAAGGATGGTTAGGTGTGTGGTTAGCGACCCCATCCCGAAAAAACCTAACTCGCTAAAAAACGCTAACCAGAAAAAATAACTCAAACCATTTAAACTCTGCCCTGGGAGTTGAGGGAATAGTTATGACGCCTCATGATGAAAGTCAAGTTCCTTCCGAAGTCATGAGGCCAATGCCCCTTCTCACTACCAGAGTTACAATTTTCATGGGTATATGGAACGTCCAGACAATGTGGGAGAACGCGAAACGTTTCCAAATCGCAGCAGAAATCAGGAAATACAACCTGGGAGTGCTTCGTATCAGTGAAACACATTGGCCTCAGGTTGGACGACAAACACTAGCTTCAGGGGAGCTTCTATTTTGCGCCTGCCATGAAGAAGAAAATACTCAGCAGTTACACTGACACCATTCATACAAGCATAAAACGCACTTATAACATGGGAATCTCATGAACCCAGGACTAACAAAGCCTCCCTCAAAACAGAGAGAAGACAATACAATGAACGTCATTAAATGCGATACGCCTACCAACGATTACAATGAAGACGTTTAAGATCAATTATAAGATAGGCTGCAGTCGATCGTCGAGAAGTGCCCACGGTTGGAATGGAGAGATTAGCAAACCTACGTGCCTTCATTAAACTGGTCATAGGCGGCATTATATTCCCACAGAAACGCATTCGCAAAGGCACAAGAACTTCACCGGATCACACTACACGGAACCAAATCGACCACATTTACATCAATAAAAAGATCGAAAGGACGATGGAGAATGTGAGAAACAGGAAGGGAGCTGATATAGCATCAGATCGTCACTTGCTGGTCGCAATGACAGCGGTAGGAAACATGAGACAACTATAACACACAACAAAGGAAATCGCTGGAAATTCCCGTAAACCAGAACGACCAGTGAAATGCAGGGAAGGCAAGGTAATCAACAACATTGAAAAACAACGAAACAGGTTGGAGGAGCTTTTCGAAGAACTTTTGAATCAACCAGCTCCACATAACCCACTCAACATCGAAGTAGCACTCACAAACTTCCCATTCGATGTTGGCTCATCAAAAATTTAAGAGATCAGCACGGCCATTAGACAAATCAAGAGTGACGAAGCAACAGGATCAAGCAACATTACAGCAGAGGCACTAAAAGCAGACATAGCAGTAATTGCGAAGATGCTCCACATTCTCTTCATTAAGATTTGGGATGAAGAACAAGTACCAGGGACTGTAAAGGACTTCTCATCAAAATACCAAAGAAAGGCGATCTCAGCATGTATTATAACGACGGGGGCATCACTCATCTCTCAATACCAGGAAACATCTTTAACAGGGTAATGTTAAACAGAATGAAGGATTCCGTAGACGCACAACTTCGAGATCAACAGGTTGGATTCCGTAAGGATCAATCCTGTACAGACCACATTGCAACTCTACGGATCATTGTGGAACAATCAATTGAATGGAATTCAACACTCTACATCAACTTCATTGAATACAAGAAGGCATTTGATAGCGCGGACAAGACAACACTATGAAAGCTTCTCCGACAGCACGGCGAGCTTGAGAAGATACTCAATATCCTATGATGGATTAAACTGCCAAATCGTGCATGGAGGACAACCCACCGACTCATTCGAATCAAACAACGGTGCTAGGAAGTGGATAGGACACACAATGAGGAAATCACCCAACTGCGTCACAAGACAAGCCCTCACATGGAATCCTGAAGACCAAAGGACACATTACGCCAAGAAATGGAGACAGACATGGGAAAAATGAACAAAAGTTGGATAGAAAGGAGGGCTCAGGACAGAGTGGGTTGGAGAATGCTGGTCGGCGACCTATGCTCGTTTGGTAGGAACAGGCGTTAGTAAGTAAGTAAATAACCTAATATACTATTCTCGTAAATTAATAGCAAGACAAGGATGCAGCATTGAATTCTGAATTATTAGAGGACGATCATATAAAAGCAGAGGCTATGACAAACTATTTTGGGGCGGTTTTCAATCAGACACCTCATCTAGATGAAGAAATATACCCAAATACAAAGTCAACGAACCGTCTTTCCACCGTGAATTTCGATGTACTTAATGCCCGTAACGCCTCAGAAATGGAAAAGTCAAAAGGACCGGATGAATTACGCCTCCAAATCCTGAGACCTATCGCACAATATATCCGGGCCACATTGTCTGCGATATTCAATGTGTCACATGATCAAGGTGTGTTACCTACAAACTGGAAGCGTGCAATCGTCACTTCCATACATAAGCCAGGATCGAGACAACTTCCATCGAACAACAAACCAGTTAACCTGATCAGTGTCCTAGTCAAAATACCGAAAAGAATAATCAAAAAGATCATCATGACGTCCCTGAAAACCAACAACTTGTCAAACAGAGAACAACATGGTTTCAGAAAAGGTTCATGTTGCACAACAAAACTTCTTTTAGCAAGGGAGCATCGGAAAAGGACTCTAGAAAACGGAAAATCAGTGTGTGTGGTCTACATAAAATTCAGCAAAGCATTTAACACGGTACCAACACAACGACTGCTCTTGAAGCTAGAAAATCTTAGCATTGCCGAACCACTCCTAAAATGGCTTGAGGATTTCATAGTACATCGTAGACAAAAGTAAGAGTAAATTCAGAGCGCTACACTTGGAGACCAGTACTTATTTGAGTACCACAAGGTTCTGTCCTAGGTCCTTTACCTTTTATACTGTATGTAAATGATCTTCCAAGTATAGTAGAGTCCCCAATGTTATTATACGCCGCCGATGTGAAAGTCTGGCGAGAAATAACGGGGGGCGCGGATGCATGAGCACTTCAGGCAGACTTAAATATTAAGATCAACTAGTCTAAATAGTGTCTGTTGCCTATCAGCTCAGCAAAATATATCTACATTACGTTGGGGATGGAAAAATAAATAAGTACAGCATAGGTGAAGTGGCTATACTCGTTGTCCACCCTCACAAGGATCTTGGGGTCACAGTGAGTCATGATCTTTAGACCACATCCCACTGCCTGAAAGTTGAAGGTAATGGGTTTAGAACCCCATGGGCTTTAAGACGGACATTCACTAAGTTAGATACTACCATGTTCACTACAGTACGTGCAACCTTAATGAGAAGCAAGCTAGGGAAATATATTCGGGCTTCAAACCCTTGTTTAAAATGTGACTCGGATATCCTTGAAGAATGATAGAGGGAAGCCGCCCATGCAATTCTAGAGTCCCGGGCTTTACAATACCAAGAGAGACTTGGAAAGCTAGACGTATTTACTCTTTCCTATCGCAGGTTGAGAGGTGATCAGATTTTGGTGTATAGAATATTAAGAAATGATTTCGAGCCCAATGCATACTCTTTTTCTTCCCACTAGAGCGGAATATCTCAAGGGACATAACATGCCAGTATAAAAACCAAGAACGAATAAACTACCAATGGGATATAGGTTTTCACACCGAGTCATCAATTCTTGGACCCTGTTATCCGAAACAGAAGTGTCCACACCTTAAGCTGACTCATTGAAGAGAAGACTGAACACCCATGGAAGCATACTAGAAAAAGGATAACATGGGCCGTAAGTCTGCTGATTTACTACACAAATCTGAACCCGAATTCAATTGTTAATTGAAGACTGAAGGTCATTTGCGACCGCAAATTATGAGGGTTCTTGAAAGAGGGGTTTGCTGTTATTCTACATTGTTAGACATATTTGTTTCCGAAGTATGCTCTGCTGTATATAAAAAGAATATCTTCATTTGTGTATTCTGTTGCAAATATAAAAATTGGAAAGTAAATAATTGTTTTCATGCGAATTTGGTTCCTCAAACGTTTTCGCAAATAGTACGGGAAAAATAATCGATTAGATTGATGGGCTATTGAATGGTACTTGGGGTTTATATTTAATGCTTTTTCTAATCCAATGCAAGCCGCTTATATATGTGTTTATCGAGTTGTTAAAGGCCTATTTCGGGGGAAATTTTCGGGTTTCCCCCAATGTCGTGAGACGTTCGGTATTGGGTAAAACTCGAAACTTGGGCCATTTTCCCCTGACCTGGAAAAATTCCCTTATGTTTTCGGCGAGACCGTAATTTATAGTCAAGCCAACCAGAAGCGTCTGAGGGACCCTAAGGTCACGTCGCCAATTTTAATACCTGGTAAATGTGTGCGACAGGTTCGCTGATAGTTTCAGAGGAGGGATAATCACGCGTCTACAGTAAATGGGACTACTAAAAATATCCTTTATTTGCAGTAATCAAATGACCTGTAGACCTTGTGCAGACTGCTGTGATGATTTTTCGATGTAATATATGTTGCAGGAAGAAGTATGGTACAATAGGAACTTTTTTCTCTCGATACGGATTGAGACTAAGGCAGATTATGATAATTGCTTTGAACTGTATGATAAAAGCATCAGTAACGTTGGTTTCAGTATTCGCAGATTTTACTGAAACTTCGGCTCTTCAGTGGTATGAGTTGTAGAGATACACGCATAATAGAAATGTCAAGCTTACATAAACAAAGTACACACAAACAATATTGAAGCTATGTGGTAGAGGTTGAAGGAGTATTTGTGACCTTACTATGGTTCCAAAGATGGACTATTATGGAGCCATATGGTTGAGTTCTACTTTATGCATTACAATTTTAGAACCTTTTAACCTCCTTCTAACCTTGAAAAGTTTTAGACCATGTATAAAAGTGTATCCACTTTAAGGCTTTGGCTTTGTATAATACATTTTTGTTATACACTAATTGCTCCCTCATTGACTTGTGTTTCTTAAGGTCATTTAAGATTCGTTCAAAGGTCGTCGATAAATTATAGTCTTGCATCTTTTAGAGATAACCCTTTCCTCATCTAAATTTCCGGGAGTTGAAATTTTACCGGGAAATCCACTTGTTAACTTAGATTATGCCAATGACTTAGTTTTATTTGGTGAAGACGCTGACAAAATGCAACGTCTTCTGACCACCGCAAGCGACAATCCATTCATGTTAAGGATGCGATTCTCCTCCTCGGAATGCAAAGATTTGCATCAGGATTGGGTTGGATTAGCACCTGAACTAATGATAGGAAGTGAAGTAGTTGAGCTCGTCGACCGCTTCACTTATCTCAGGAGTTTCTCAGCTCTTGTGGTTTGGTGTGTGACAAAATCCCAGCAAGAATAAATAAGGTCCGACAAGCTTTTGCCAACTTGCATCATTTATTTTGAAGGCGAGATATCCGTCTACCAACCAAAGGACGGGTTTACTGTGCAGCAGTTCGTTCCGTCCTGCTTTATGGGTGTGAAATATGGTCGGTAAGAGTAGAGGATATTCGTAGGTTTCTAGTATTCGGTCATAGGTGTCTTCGAAGCATTGCTTGTATATCCTGGCACCACTGAGCATGTAATGCAGTTGTTAGGGAACGGGTAATACGTAGGGATGGCGAATCAATTGATGAAGTAGCTAAACTTCAGTTGAAATGGCTGGGACATATGTTACGTATGTCCAACCACCGACTGTCCCGACGAGCTATGTTTTATTGCGTAGCAGTGGGATGGAACAAAGCTAGGGGTGGCTAGACCAAAACATGGCACAAATCCATGAAGTCACTGACAACTGAACTCAGCCATGTTGGTAAGTGTAGAATATCTGGTTAGGATCCGCGAGATGATGTCAACCGATGGTTAGAGACTTTATTTGCTAGGTAAAACACGACTATCAGTAAGTCACTTTCTATAAAACTATTGGTTTGACTTATTTATTTATTTAAACACACGAATATTGGTACAGGGAAGCATCAGATGAATATGTGCCTCACAAATCTCATTTGATTTGTGTGAGGGCTGTGATACTGACCAGGTGCCCAGACTGAAGCAGGTGGTTTTCTTAGAGGGCCACACCCCGAGTCTTTCACCTGAAGGTCTAGTCCACAAGGCAGTGGAGCATCGTAGGGAGATGCAGTCCCATGGTAGCTGGTGACCAACGATTGGTTCATACGCCATTTGTTCCTTCAGGATACTGGTGCCCATGTGCACCATGGTTTTAGAGTCAGGGTTTTCCAATTCCACTAAGTGAACTTTCCGTCTCCACCAACCCGGTTAAGGCGTCGGATATTCTCTTTTCGTCCTCTCAATTTCGTAAACAACACCGGTGCCACGTAAATGCAGTAAGTAGGACTTCCTACTCACTGGTTTGACTGCTTCGGTTCAGAATGTTTTTCACTATCAGTGCTCCTTCTGTGCAAACATATAAGATCAGGGAGGATAGCATTTTATAAATTTCACCGGTTTGCTTTAAATGCCTAGTTAAATACAATTGTTATCAAACAAAACCACTGTGTAATAGTTCCAAGCCCTCGTACATTGTAAAGGAGTTAAAAATTGAGGAACGTTCATCCATTAAAAAGTGTTCCAACTTTATCGTTTTTGTAATACGGACATGTCTATAAAGTGTCGTGCTATATTTTATGTCGTTTATGCCGCATCACCCGTAGTATTAATTTAATCCAGAAATATCATAAATACTCGGAGTTCATAATCCAAGATGACACTCGTAATAAACTATAAGCAAAACTATAGAAGAGAGTTCATTTTTTTATATTCATACTGTAAAGTGGCTAATATAATGTTTATCTTTTTCAGACTGTGGAGTAACCGAATTTTGCACGTAAACACCTGTTCTCTACATCTTGCGATGTGGTATTTTAGAACATTTGGGTCCAAATTTTTCACAGCAGCATCTATATACTGTAGTGTACATTCTATGGGATCTGATTCGAAAATTCAACAGTGGAACTACAACTGGGATAAGTCACATGGTATATGATGATTTTTATCGTCCTGAAATTTTAACTATCGTTTTATTGTTTATTTTTATAGGTATACATGATAATTCAAAGTCCGGATTAAAATCAGATACACTTAACGTAGTAAAACATCAGCAACCTTATCATAAATTAATTATTTTTATACGTCATGGACAGTATCATTTGAATAGAAAGAAATCAGCGGAAAAGGTCCTCACCGATATTGGTTGGCGACAAGCTTATGCTACTGGTTGTCGACTTAGGGAAATGGGAATTAAGTAGGCTTAAATGTGATATTAATTGTACATATTTCTCATACTTCATATTCATCTGCAGATTTTATCTTAGTGATCAGTGAAATTTGATTGCTTTAGCTTTGTACTGTATTGTTTATATAGTTGTGACTTTTGGATACTGTTCTGGACTACGTGTTGTAGGTTTGAAATATGACCCTTTAATAACTATTTAGTACGTGAAAATCTGTTCACGACTACTAAATTATCAGTTCTTTTTTGTTTATTACATTGCGTCCTACTTTCTTAAAAGGGAAGCTTAATTTTCGTTAAACATTATTTCCTTTGTTCATTGGATGTATCTTAAGGCTTTCAAGTAGCAATTTTGTTTTTTAGTCGGTTTGCAATTTCTTTCACCACTTCCCGTTAATAAGAACTGGCTTAGTGAAGCCAAATAATTCTTCCGATTATTTGACAATGATTCATTCCATCATACCTCCCATTTAACAATTCTATGATTTTTACTCAAAATTAACAGTCAATCACAACATAGAACCTTGTACGTATGTATGGTTTAGGTCATCATAGAGAAATGAAGTCGTCAGGCGAAATCCTAGAATAATAGAGGTAGTAACAATATCAGTGCTAATAGGAAAGATTAGGCATCGGAGGTACAAATCAGAAATGATATATAAATTAGTACAACAAAAACACGAAAAGGCTTATGAAGATTTAGAATTCCAGAATATAAGGCATTAAAGCTACAGTATCACGACTGAAAATCGTTCGTTGCTCAATAAAAAACGTTCATTCAGTCCACTAATCGTGTAACGAACAAATGAAGTATATAGTATTAACTGAAATACCTTTAAGAAAATAAAATTCATACAGCTGTGGGTAAGCAAGATGTACACTTTTGAGTAGGTCAGTTCTTATAGCCTGTTCGTTTTAAAGTATATGAGCAAGATACAGTATGATAAGGCTTTCGTACTAAGTTAACTGCTTAAATTATTGACATAACTCCACCTATTATCAAATCATATATTCAGTGACCATGGTTCACTATTTTATTTATTTATTATTTATTTAAACACATAAATATTGGTACAAGGAAGCACCAGATAAATATGCGCCTCACAAATCTCATTCCATTTGTGTGAGGGCTGTGATACTGCCCAGGTGCCCAGACTGAAGCAGGTGGTTTTCTTAGAGGGCCACACCCCGAGCCTTTGACCTGAATGTCTGATCCACAAGGCAGTGGAGCATCGTGAGGAGATGCAGTCCCATGGTAGTCGGTGATCAACGGTTGATTCGTACGCCATTTGTTCCCTCAGGATACTGGAGCCCATGTGCACCACTGGTTTGGAATCAGAGTTTTCCAATTCCCCTAAGTGAACTTTCCATGTCCACCAACCCGGTTAAAGCGCCGGACATTCGCTTTTCGTCCTCTCACTTTTGCGAACAACACCCCCGCTACGAGAAGGCAGTGAGTAGGACTTCCCTGGCAGAGGCTATATATTTGCGTGGCCATATGAGAGCATTTCGAGAGGGAGAGGTGACTCTCCCCACTCTCGGCCGTACCAGGGCATTTGGGGGCTATGGTTTAATAGAACTAAATATAAAATCTTGCTGCATTCTTAACCACTGTTCAGCTTTGGGATATTTTACTGACAAAAATGTTTTGTATCCCGCTGATACCGTATTAGCTTGCACAAATTTGTGTCGGTCCAAGTTGCTACTCTTCATATTAACATAATCGAATTGGGAGTTGACAAAATGACAAACAGGAAAGTTATAAGTGTATCATCAACCTCAATGGAAAACTAGGCCCGAGGAATGGTTCATAGACCTACTGGTCAGTCTGAGTGTAATTATCTATACTCTCAGATATACATGAACTAATTCTAAAATATTCGGGTTTTAATTAACTAGTGCTCAATACTCTCAAAAATGGTTTTCAGAAAACTTCATTGAAAATTCTAACATTTGGTTTTGGAAATGATTATATCAAGTGGTGTTCGTCAGAGTTGTCCGCTTCCTCCATTTTTACTTAACATTGTCATAGGCATGCTCTTAGTGATAACACTCATCGCCTGACTTTTTAGGGATTGATGTTCTACCAGGCGATTCACTGGCTGACTTAGAATACACAGATGATATAGCTTTGTTCGGTGAAGATGCTGACAAAATTTGGTCTTCTGACCACCTTAAACAACATGTTTGGGGTGCGGTTCTCTTCCTCCAAATGTAACATGTTACTTCAAGATTGGCCCCGAATGCCCTAGTGCGGCCGAGAGTGGGGAGGTTTAGCTCTCTCTCTCCAAATGCTCTCACATGACCACGTGCCTACAACCACTATCAGGGAAGTCCTACTCACTGCCTTCTCATGGTGGGGTTGTTGTTCACGAAAGTGAGAGGACGAAAGGCGATTATCCGGCGCTCTTACCGGGTTGATGGACAGGGAGAATCTACCTACGTAAATTGGAAAACCCTGATTCCGAACCAATGGTGTACATGGGCTTCAGGATCCTAAATGAACAAATGGAGTATGAATCAATCGTTGGTCACTGGCTACTATGGGACTGCATCTCCTTACGTTGCTCGTACTGCCTTGTGGATTAAACCTTCAAGTCGAAGGTTCGGGGTGTGGCCTCTTAAGAAAACCACTTGCTTCTATCTGGGTACCCGTGCAGTATTCCAACCCTCACGCAAATCAGGTGATTTATGTTGCGCATAGCTATTTGGTGCCTCCTTGTACCAATGTTTATGTGTTTAAGTAAATACGTAAATGTATCATCTCTGGAATTAGTGATAAGGAGTGTAGTAGTTGAACGCATCGATCGCTCCATTTATCTCGGGAGTCTTACCAGTCCTGATGGTCTGATATCTGACAAAATCTAGGCACCAACTCAAAAGTCTTGGTTGGCTTTTGCTAACTCGCGCCATTTGTGGTGTAGGGTTGATATACGTCTTCCAATCAAAGAGGGAGTTGGCTGCTCAGAAGTTCCTTTCTGATTAATGGATGTGAAATATGGGCATTTAGAGTAGGGAATTATCGAAGGTTACTGGTACTCGATCATAGATGTTTACCAAACATTGCCCCCAAATGCCCTGGTGCGGCCGAGAGTGGGGAGAGTCACCTCTCCCTCTCGAAATGCTCTCATATGGCCACGCAAATATATAGCCTCTGCCAGGGAAGTCCTACTCACTGCCTTCTCGTAGCGGGGGTGTTGTTCGCAAAAGTGAGAGGACGAAAAGCGAATGTCCGGCGCTTTAACCGGGTTGGTGGACATGGAAAGTTCACTTAGGGGAATTGGAAAACTCTGATTCCAAACCAGTGGTGCACATGGGCTCCAGTATCCTGAGGGAACAAATGGCGTACGAATCAACCGTTGATCACCGACTACCATGGGACTGCATCTCCTCACGATGCTCCACTGCCTTGTGGATCAGACATTCAGGTCAAAGGCTCGGGGTGTGGCCCTCTAAGAAAACCACCTGCTTCAGTCTGGGCACCTGGGCAGTATCACAGCCCTCACACAAATGGAATGAGATTTGTGAGGCGCATATTTATCTGGTGCTTCCTTGTACCAATATTTATGTGTTTAAATAAATAATAATCTTGTGTGTTTTGAGAGCACGGAGTAACCAGTGTCTGGGTTTAGGGAGAGATTACTAGTTAAAGATGGGTAATTCATTACTGGGTAGTAAATTTTCATCAACCGAGGTTGTTGGGACATGTGTTACGTATGGCCGACTTTTACCTACCTCAAGGAGTAATGTTTTCTGGTTCATGTGTATGCTGAAAGAAATCTGGCAGCGCCCAAACGAAAACATGGCTCAGTTCATGTAGTCATATAATTGGGTTTCGAAATGTTAATAGGTATAGACAATCTGGTTGGGGTTCGCGTGATTATCGTAACTGTTGGTTAGATGACATGGCCAAAAATAGTTTGAAATGGAGCAGGTACATCAATTCTTTGTCTTCCTCCAAATTTTGAAATTCTAAATTCCTCATAACTTTTTTTCGTGTTTTTACTTCACTTATTTATATTTTTTCGAGTTGTGTCTCCGATGACTAATCTTTCCAGTTAGCACTTATACTTTTACTACCTCTACTATTCTGGAATTCTGCTTGACGACTTCATCTCTCTGTGCTAATGGGGTGTGGTAACTTAAACCGATGTGCGTACGTACAAGGTTCTACGTTGTTATTGACTGACGAAACGATAAACTAATCTGCTATACTTATGTCATTTTTATAATTTCTATCATTCATTATCATTAGTTTTGCGAGTATGTTCCACTCACGTATTTTAAAGTTTATTTAAAACTTCAGAAGTAGTCCTTTTATGGAACTGCCCCAGTTCCATTTGCTTATCCTTGCTATCTGATAATGGTTTAATCTCCCACATATTTTTTTCTTAGAGTTGATCGCATTATACATTCAGATTTAATCCGTGCTCGACAAACTACAGCTGCTGTTTTAATTGGCTTACAAAATAATGTTGACGATCTGTTTGATTCACCAGAAATTGTTCAACTTGTTATACCGTATTCATCTGAGTTAGATGATCCTAAATCCTGCCCTGTTACACAAAAATCTAACGAAAAAAATACGATTTCAGAGCCTAAATCAAGCACTCCAGTGAAAATGACAATGATTGACAATCCATATACGCCTTATGCGAATGCCATGTTCGATTGTCAACTATCACGTTATCTTACTGAGGGTCCACCTCCTGTTGCTCCTGTGCCACCAACATGTAAGTCGAACGCATGTGCTTTTCAACGTTAGGTAACTATATAATAATGGATTGTGTTTTTTCATTGAGTTTGAGACATTAAAGCATGTTTTAAATGTGGACCATTCTAAATAGACGACATTAAATACTATCTGCCTGTCCAGTTGGAAGGCTTTACGAAGAACTTTTTTATGCATACTTCTACTAATAGAATCGTTTTCTTTCCTGTTTAACAAAATGTCGAGTAAATGTAGTTTGTTATCAACTTCCGCTTCATATGTAAAGTTGATTGTTGAATGTTTACTGTTAATTAGCTCCAACAGTTTTTTTCAGATGTTCTGATAGACAATAAACCCTGAAAGGTCTGTTTGTTAGTTTCCCTTGGGAAAATGCGTATAGAAGTTCATTGTCAAAACAAAATACAGATTGTTTTAGCTTTGTACTCATTCATTTGGAAAGAAACCTAGTTAGATTTCTTGCAAGTGGAGCTAGGAGGATAGACTCAGACGACATTATGAATAAGGAACTAGAGCTCATTCATAATATGTTGATTGAAATGTGTTATACATAAAGTATTCTGAAGAAACACTTGCATGCAATAAACAGGAAAATAGCGACATCAATAGCTAGTAAGAACCCTCTCTTCCTGAAGCTGCAATTCATCAGAGATATAGCTGGTGATGTGCTACAGGATAGAATGACTAGAGCAACGATAAAAACGTACATCAGTTCAAGTTGCCATACTACATTAGCACGGAGATGCAGTTGTCGATTCAAATCCCATAATGGTAGAAGTAGTAAGAGTATAAGCAGTAATCTGAAATATTAGGGTTCGAAGATGTTATTGAAGAAGTATAATCCAGTGAAATAAACTTGGCAAGAGAAAAAAGAAAGGACATGAAGAATTCAGATTAGAATTTGGCTAAGCACAAATAGTGGATGCACCTTCACCATTGCAAACAAATTTGAACCATGTCATTCAAGGTCTCTAACCATCGATTACTATCATCTCATAGATCCCAACCAGGTAATCTACACCAACCAACATGGCTCAGTCCAATTGTCAGTGACTTCATCGATTTGTGCCACTTTTTGGTCCGACCACCCTAGCTTTCTTCCAACCTACTCCTACACCATAAAACATAGCTCATCGGGGCAGTCGATGGTTGGGCATACGTAACACGTGTCTCAGCCATCTCAACTGATGAAGTTTCACTACTTCCTCCTGAATTCTGGATCCTTTATGCACCATTAGTTTAGAATCAGGGTTTTTGCAACTCCTCTAAGTGAATCCTCCATATCTTGTTATAAGTATATGAAAAGCAGTCAAATCTAATAAATTCATATGTATGTAACCCGACGTTTTTTCTTTTCTTTACCTTAATTCTTACATAACTATTTCATTTTCTCCCAATTTTTTTTCGGGGTTGGGGTTGGGGGATGGTAACAAATACACACACACACATATACACGAAAATAGCATCTACAAAAAAATCTGATCCTATTCGTTCAATAGAAGGTATTCGTATTGATAAAGGATATGAAATACATTTACATTGTAAACCAATTACAAAACAAGGTATTATTGCATATAATGGTTCAATTCATTGTTCATTAAATTGTTGTTCTATTTTAAATAATCATACTAATCATAATCATCATCATATTATTCAATGTCATTGTCCATGTCATCGTATTATACAAAATCAACCCATAGAAACTATTCTATTTATTGGTCATGCTAATGTATTTCGTTATTGGATATGTAAATTATTACAATTACCATTAGAAGGTTGGTTACGTTTAAGTTTAGGACATGGTAGTATTAGTATATTATTAATAAATAATAATGAATTAATAATCAATAATAATAATAATAAGGGTGATAAAGAAAAAGATATAAAACAATCAAAATATGGTTCCATAGTAACCCTTAATTGTCTTGGTGATGTTGGTCATTTACCACCAGAATTATTAACATATTAATAGTATTTCTCCCTCTCTCCCCTTCTTTCTCTGTCTCCCCCTCTCTCTCTTTCTCTTCTAATGATCTATATATATATGCCTTATTATTAATGATTGTATAGATGTGTAATTTATATATATAAAATATATTGATAAAGATTTGATTTTTAAGTGAGTTCGTTTTCTTTTTTACGAGATCGACGGGGGGTGGGAACGGTCACTAACCCCTATCCTTAACCCTCCTCATTTTTTAATCTGGGCTTAGAATTAATAGTAACTGTAGTGAACAAGAATATGAGTGGGGGACAATCGAATGTATTTAAGCAGAAATTACAAATTATGTTACTAAGATCTGATAACGTTGTATCTCGAACTTAGATTTCTTAGTCTTCTATCGCACGATACCTGAGCACTCGAACGCTGGAACCCTCTTAAGTCACAAATCAGAAGGCAGAAGACAAGTAGAAGGAATGTTATTCCCAACAGTGTCGATTATGGTACAAAATTGTCAAGTATTTATAGTTTTTAGTAGAAACAAAATCATCATTATAGTTATCCAATCCGCACACAGGGAGTTATCAGCAATGTCCAATAGGGAAGCTCCACGTTGTGATTCTAGAATATTCTTCTAAAAGCGGATTGGATGGAATATGTCGGGCTACTTCTGGGCTTCCTCGACTTCACCTGTGGACCATCCTCACAGATAACTATACAGCAAAATAACAATCAATTATCTCAATCTTCACTGTTGCTTCTGTACATATCAGTCCATCTTCTCTAATTCCATTGTTCATTCATTTTCCTGCCTATCGCGCTTCATTTCTGTTCGTTCCTTATCGATCTTCTGCCAAAATACATTCTATGTCTGACCATCACCATATACTACTTATGAGGATATAAGTAGACCACACGACAGTAACTGAAGAAGGGCTCCAAGTTGAGGAAATGATTCATTATTGTCGAAAAAAAACTTTATAGTTGGTTGTAATTCATAAAGGACATATGAATTAAGGTATTAGTGATTTTTATTTGTACATTTAACTTATTTTGTTATAGAGGTGATCAGTCACAGTTCGGTAAACAAAGTAATATCTTACCACACTCAATTTTACCTTTTTTTATGTACTAATGTTTGAAGCGGTTACGAGTTCAATTAGTCTGCGAACAGAACAAAAACTTGTGACCAGAGACCAATAAACTATCTATTCTGACGCGTCCCAGGCCTCGCTAACTAGAGTAAGAAGTCTAAGTTGGAAGTGGGGAAGATATATTCCGTAAGCAAGCCAGAAGCATAAGTAATTGCAACAGAAAGAAATCAAAGGTATTTATACAGCATAAAATTGTCCTTGAGATGCGTTACATAATAGCATATTGAAAGATACAACTGAGCAATAACGTTTAAGATTTTCCCGAGTGGGAAATACGACGCGAAAACAAAGAAATTTAAATTTTCAAAATAAAATTACAAAAATAAGCCATTTATCAAATGAGTTCTGGGGATCTAACATGTCCAACATGATTCACAATTTATATGTTGGAGCTAGAGATACTAATCAGCTATGTAAACGGGAATAAGTGGTGCAATGTTAAAACCATACCATCGTGTTCTGTTAGACGTGTATGAATAGTTTTTCACACTATGGAAGAATACTTTTGAATGAACCTGACAAAGTTAGATTAGTAGTGATGTTAGTGACTTGGGTGTATGATCGCATAATCGTGGGGAAAAATGCTTGAGACTGCTTACCTATTGCTTTTTTGTGACTTCTTGATGGGTTAACTCCGTATTTTGTAGACGTCGCCGACGATAAAGATCCGTGCGGCGAGCTGAGGTATGCTATTATTAGGATCGGGCTTCCCTTAACCTTCCATTATCAGGAACGCGAAATTGTTGCAAATCCTGGTTATCTGAAGGCAACATGCTATTGTTATCATATTCCAGTATAGTTTGCAGTAGAACTTCACCATAGAATCTTAAACTGCTGCTGTCAGTTTTATTGTTCTTCAATCAAGCTTTGTAGAATTGTAAGACTTAAGAGACAAGTGTTCGATAAGCAATTCCAACTACCACTTCAGTTTAGGTTCTACACTGCTGAAAAATGAAGATTGTTCACTAGGGACATTCATTCAATTAGGTTCGTTAAATATAACAAGATTAGCATTAATGTTAACTTCACTGAGTTATTTATTCCGAAGAGTACTTTGCTGATAGAGATGTAATTGTAATCCTCTGGAACATTGAAATTGTTCACTGTTGAAATGAAAGATGAGTTTATTAACATAAAAGTCTTATCGAGAACTGCCCTAATTAATCATACATTGAGTAATTAGCAATCATTGAACATCTACCTTGTTTTAGTATATCACTCATCAACAATGCACATTCACATTAAGATGATCACAATCTATACAATTATTATGTTCATCTCAGAAAGAGGAACAACCTTGTGATATTTATTTAGTATTGTTTGTTTGGATCTTCCCATTGCTGTTTTTAGGACTGCAACTGGTCAGTCTCTAATTGGCATATGTGCATACTGTGCGTATCGCCTCTATATAGCCTAAATTCACAAGCATGGTAAGCCAAGATGGATAGTGACTAGCAGTGGAATCCAGGACGCGCGCTTCGTCTCCATTGCACAAGAAAGTGGTTATCAGGACTCAGTGGCCGACTGGATAACGCGATGGCGTTTGAAGCGAAAGATACTGGGTTCGAGTTTCAGAGTGAACATCAACTCTGAGATGCAGGTATATCCAGCTGACGAGTCCCAAATAGGACGAAACGCGCGTCCTGGATTCCACTGCTAGCCACTATCCATCTTTACTCATATAGCTTGTGACTCAAGACATTATCGAGGTAGTACGCACAGTATGCACATATGCCAATAAGAGACTAAACAATCGCAGTCCTAAATATCAATGGAAAGATTCAATCAAACAATATCGAGTGATTGTATTTGAAGTAATATCAGCTATTGCGATTGAAATAGTTCCAACGTTTCGACCAACAAACTTGTCTGGGCTTGTTCAGGATAATTATCGAAATCAAGATCACCAAAGAAATATATAGAGTTTAACAATCAAATCATTTTATTATTTATTTATTTAAACACATAAATATTGGTACAAAGCGGCACCAGATACATATGCTGCGATACTGCCCAGGTGCAAAAACTGAAGCAGGTGATTTTCTTAGGGAGTCACACCCGGAGCCTTTGACTTAAAGATCTGATCCACAAAGCAGTGGAGCATTAAAAGGAGATGCATTCCCCATTGTAGCCAACGATTGATTCATAAGTCATTTGTTCCTTCAGGATACTGGAGCCCATGTACACCATTGGTTTAGAATCAGGGTTTTCCAACTCCCCTAGGTGGACGCGCCGTGTCCACCGACCAGGTTAAAGCGCCGGACATTCGCTTTCCGTCCTCTCAATTTCGTAAACATCAACTGTATACTGTGCTAATCCAATTATATTTGGATAGGCGAATGATGTGGAACGTTCACAATGTTAAAATAAATGACTGAATGAATTGTGTGTGTGTAAGATTGAGTTATTATTAGTTGATATACGGTGTCTGTTTGTTCTTGTATGACATGAAAATAAATGTTCAATTTGAAGGTTGAAAAAGTGGTTTCCGAATCATTGACGTGTGTATGTAAAATAAGAATCATTAAATACATAATTGTAACATGAAAATATAAAAGGAAAGGATTGCCCAGGACAGGGTTGGATGGAGAATGCTGGTGAACGACATATGCTCCTCCACGAGGCGTAACAGGCCTAAGTATTTTCCAGATTATGATCTGTCAGAATAACAATGCATGTCAAATAAACTGGTCGGATAGAGAATGGGTTCAATTAATTGTTAACGAATATTTGTCATGTCGTTGTTAGTTGAATACCATCCTTTTGATTCAGATTGTTCTTATTAATTCATTTATACGGTGCTTCTGCTGTCAAACTTTCTTTGTGTGTGAAAGCGTTTCTGAAGTATTTTGGCTCCTTCGAATTTAATCTTTTGTCCTATTTTCTAACACATATAACGCTTTCGCCGACCTATTCTCAAGTTGTTTTTTAGGTCAACCAAGGGTTTGAGAGCCTTTTTAAAACACTGTTTGTGTTCCTTCAAGCTTACATTCAATTGTCTTGAAGTTTCACTCATATAAACCGTATTGCAATCATGACAGTTGATCTCATTGACAATATTTTATTGTTCTTCCTTTGGGGAACCTATCCTTACCTTACACTCATCCCAATCTTATGGTGTCACATGCCCGAAAATACAGTTTTATATCATGCTTGTGTCACGTGATTCCCATTTAACTGACTCATCCTATTTATTGAAACCAATATTCAAATATGATTGAATTGGCACAATATAGATTTGATTGTTAAACGCTATATATTTCTTTGATGATTTTGATTATTACCATGAAGAAGTCCAGGCACGTTTCCTGGAAGAAATATCGGAATTATTTTAAATTTCAATCGTTGATATTATTTCAAATATAATTTTCACATGTAATGACTTCACTTTACTCGGCACCCAAATGCCCTGGTATGGCCGAGAGTGAGGAGAGTCAGCTATCCCTCTGTAAATGCTCTCAAATGACCACGCGTATATAGCCTTTGCCAGAGAAGTCCTACTCACTACCTTCTCATGGCGGGGGTGTTGTTCATAAAAGTGAGAGGACGAAAAGCGAATGTCCGGCGCTTTAACCGGGTTGGTGGATATGGAGGATCCACCTAGGGGAGTTGGAAAACCCTGATTCCAAACCAATGGTGCACATGGGCTCCAGTATCCTGATGGAACAAATGGCGTATGGACCTATTGTTGGTCACCGGCTACCATGGGAGTGCATCTCCTCACGATGCTCCACTGCCTTGTAGACTAGACCTTTAGGTGAAAGGCTCCGGGTGTGGCCCCCTAAGAAAACCACCTGCTTCAGTCTGGGCACCCGTGCAGTATCTCATCCCTCACACAAATGAAATGAGATTTGTGTGGCGCATATGTATCTGGTGCTTCCTTGTACCAATATTTATGTGTTTAAATAAATAAATACTCGGTGCCCAATTTTTGTCAAACTATTCGTTTTAATATTTGATGAATATTCGTATAAATACCGAATGAGTTTAAACTTCATCTCATTGCAAAATCAATTGGCTATAAAGACTAAGTAGCTAAGTGGGTAAAACGATGGCGCTTAAGGTGAACGGTATTGGGTTGAAGTCCTAGCGTGAAAATTATCTCTGAGATCCAGGTACATCCAACTGAAGTGTCTTAAATAGAACAAAACATATGCCCGGGATTCCACTTCTAGCCACTATCCATCTTTATTTACTTATTTTCTATTTAAACACATAAATATTGGTAGAAGGAAGCATCAGATACCTATGCGCCGCACAAATCTCATTTGATTTGTGTGAGCTAGGATACTGCCCAGGTGACCAAACTGAAGTAGGTGGTTTTGTTAGGGGGCCACACATGGAGCCTAAGGGTGTGATCCTTAAGGAAGTGGAACATAGTAGGGAGATGCAGCCCGATGGTAGCCGGCGACCAACAGTTGGTTTATACGACATTTGTTCCCTCAGGATACTGGAGTCCGTGTGCACCATTGATTTGGAATCAAGGTTTTTCAACTCCCTTAGATGGACTTTCCGTGTCCACCAACCCGGTTAAAGCATCGGACATTCGCTTTTCGTCCTCTCAATTTCGTAGGCAACACCCGCTGTGCGAGAAGGAAATGAGTATGACTTCCCTATCAGAGGCTAAATACGCGTGGTTATGTGAGAGTATTTCGAGAGGGAGAGCGGACTCTCCCCACTCTCGGTCATACCAGGGCATTCAGGGGCTTATCCATCTTTACACATATGGCTTGTTACTTAAGGCAATCTGCACAGATTGCTCATATGCCAACAAAAGACTAATCAATTACAATCCGAAGGTACAAATAAATAAGTAGTATTTATAAGAAATAAGTAGTATTATTATCATCATCATCATTGAATCATTACAATATTTATAGGCATTTTCTTCTCTTTTGGAAATGATAATTCTTTTAAGCAATTTAAATATTTTTTTTAAAAAAAAAGAATAAAATTAAAAGAAATTAGGAAGATTCTTTTTTTTCATTTATGTTTTTTTGTTAATAAAAAAAAAGAAAAGAAAAGGAAAAGAAAAACAAAATCAATAATCATCATTACCACAAAAATATCAAAAGATTCTATTATTATTTACATTTCAATATAAAATAAACACAAAATAATAAAGAAAGTCAACCATCCTTAATATGGATCCAACTATAATAAGTGAGCTTGTTTGTTTGTTTGTTTGTTTTTCCTCTATTCAATATGTAACATTGAAATAGATCATAGAAACTGGAATGTATATAGTTAGTTAGATAGATAGATAGATAGATGGATATGATGTATGTATATAAGATTGCACACATTATTCAGTAGTATTAGTAGTAGTAGTATATTGGTTTAATGAGTGCAAACACAATAAGAAATAAACAATACAATATACTGTAGATATTTATATATTAAAGAATAAGAAGGAAGAACAAAATAAACGAATATGACTATTACTACTGATAAAAACAATGATAGTAGTATTGGTAGTAGTAGTAGTAGTTGTAGTAATGATAATATTCATACTAATAATTAATAACGTATGAATTGAACTTTTGATATTCTTATTCTGTTTAAACAAAATTTCTTCTATTACTATCAGGATAATTGTTTTTCTTATACAGGATTGTAATTATTAGTAAATCTGTAATAGGATAGAATGATAGGATATTTAACCAATAATATGTTTGAAGGCAATATAAACTGTAGAGGTAAGTATTACTACTTTCGGTTGTGCATTTGATTCTTAAGTTTAAGGTTGTTGAAGTGCATCGCTGAGGAGCGCCCCTCTCCTATACTAGGACAAAACGGTTATTCTGTACTTGTACTTTATAAGTGAGGGTCTAATCAAGAGCAGTAACCGGTGGAGTTCAACGATGCCAAACATACTTGCGGAATACTGTGAATTGATTGAAGTTAGATATTGATACCATTGGATACTGACTCAGTAGCCTATAGGTTCAGTTTCCGTGGATGAAACTGAAGGTCGCGGCTACGCATTGGTGAGGAGTGCCTTACTATGATCAGGCAGTTGTCTAGCTCTTTCAGGTTCCCAACAGTGGTCCGGCTAATATCATGATTTTAAATAAGAAAATATCTTGAACAGTTCGATGTTAGTGTCTTTGACTGTGGCACTTAGTGATATGGGTTTTTATTCTACAAAGAACCAACCTGATGGCTAGATCTAGAACTGCAGTCATCTAATGCTAGACACAGTATATTTTAGTTCGACTATACGACAATAAGCACCTACAACGCTCAACACATCATTGAACCTGACAGATAAATTATATTACTTCTCATTCGTTATCCAACATTGTGCATTTTCAAAATTACTTTTTTACCAGTAAACCCGAAATTCTAAGATTCAGTGTTATGTTTGAAATCATTGGTAGGCACTGCTGAGGAGTTACAATATATCATGAAGTATTTTTTTGTTATTCTCGAATTGAATGAATTCAAAAGCATTACCCTCGAACTCTAAATCACTAGCTTAAAGGTGTTGGGCTCCTTGCGTTACTTGAGAGTCTCCACCACATTCTCGTTTAAGATCATCAATTATAGGGTACATTACGGAACAATATTAGCAAGACAATCATTTAAAAATCAGTCATGAAAAACCAGCTACATTGGTTATATCCTCATTATTGACTAATTTCGAGAAGTACTTCTCGGCGTTCTAGTGCAAGCGGGTTCCAACCATTTCAGATGTGCGACAGTCGATTGCCAATACCATTGAATGATGGTTGTATAATATTATGAATCGATTAAAGTCAAAAATGTAAATCATTAGATATCGGCTGCGTGGTCTAACAATTAAGTACTCACTGTGAGGTCCGTAGATCTTAGGTTAAATGCTGGACAGGGTCATAGGATGAGAACTATTTATCAGTTTTATACTATTATATAACACCTGCCCAGTACTTCCTAGTTTACGATGGTTAGCCAACTCACATTAGTCCAGACTATAAGATGTAAAAAAATCTAATAAACTCCACCTACCTTTTTGTTAAAAATAAACGCTTAGTGACTTACCTTGACAAAAGCATAATACCAGTAAATCTATTCATCTTGTGTATAATCTATAATGAATGTTTCATCATCATCATCTAAATCATCTTCGTCGAAAAAACGTCTGGCATCAGATGTTAATGACAATGCTTCAACACTACTATTTTTGGAATGTGATAAATTTCTTGCCGATAAAGCACCTTTCACTCCAGTTGTTGTTGTTGTCTTTGTTAATGATGATGATGGTAATGTTAATGATGTTGATGTCGATGTTGATGATGAGTAATTTGAAGGAATATCGACTGATTTAAACGATGATATTGACTTGTTATCACTATTATTATTATTGTTCGAAAAGATACTTGGTAATGCAAGAAAATATTCACTGCCAGCTTTTTTGATCGTTGGAGATTGTTGTTGTTCTTGGTGTATTGTGACGGTTGATAATCTACGTTTATTCTCCTTGAGTCGTGTATCCATTTCGTGAATACGAAAGTGTAATCTTGATTCTAAGTGATAATTTTTATAACTTCTAAAAGTTTATTTCAAAAAAAGAAGATGAAATGGAAAACATGAGTATCCCCGGGTGAGACTATAATTTATGGACGACTTATGCCGACCGTTGCTGCAACCTTGACGTGGTGGTCGGGTTTGCCTATCGTGATGAACCAATCGAGCTATACTGGCTGGAACAATCGTTCCTCAAGGTCCTACCATGCCAGACAGGTCGGTTGAAGAGCAGTAAGACTAAAAGCAGCAATCTCAAGATCCGAAGGCGAAGTCGTACTGCCGATTGTACAGAGGTGTGACAGCAGTAAGGTGTTTCCTTCAGACAACCAGCATAACAGCGATGCTGCCTTCCCACAAGGAGGGATGAGGTTAGAAAAGGTCGACTCTGAAAATGCACACCTCGCCTTATCCCACGGATTTTCGTCTCCTGTGATAAGGCCCTTTGAAGAACGGAGCTAAGACATCAAAAATCCCCCATAAAAAGGGCGTGCGTGACCGGCCCCAAGCAGTACTGCGGTCACGGTCCGAGGTCGTTAAAACCAACATTAATACAACTTCTTTTTCAGATCACTCAAAAAATACTCTTCTACGGTGTGGGCAGCCGGGAAGTGATATAAGCCCTCATAGCCGTAACTGCACAAAAGACCAAATTGGTCACATTCAAGTCCTTCCTGAGTGATGGACGACTTATGAGCGACGCTAAAATGACTTTGAGAGTGTCTACCTACTTACTAAAACTAAATGAGAGTTATAAAACAGTTTGAACAATAAGGATTATGATTCACAGTTGATGGTTAAGGTTAGGAATTAGATTAAAGGTTTTCATCACGAACTGGTATCAGCTAAAATGCCAATACGCTCTTTAGCCCGATGGGTGAGTCAATTTAGCACGAAAATGGAAGACTCGTTATTCTAAATCTGGTACATTCATAACCTATCGCCTCACTATATCACTGTTGAACGTAGAATTAATTTGATATTCTTTAAGTAGTTTTATGGTATAAAATGAAATCATAAAGGTATTGCCTTCACTTTGAATAATCAACAGAAACAAGGTTTCAAATATGTATTTATTAGAAATAGTGATTGGAACATTATATTATATAGAGAAATGTTACATAAGCAAAGATGGATAGTGGTTAGCAGTAGAATCCAGGACTTGCGTTTCGTCCTCTTTGGGACTCGTCAGCTGGATTTACCTGCATCTGAGAGTTGATGTTCAAGTACGATACACATTTACTTAATTAGATTAACAAATTCATCGCCCCCATATGCCTTGGTACGGCCGGGAGTGAGGAGAGTCAGCTCTCCCTCTACAAATAACCACGCGTATACGAGCACTGACAAAGAAGTCCTACTCACTGGCTTCCAGTGGCGGGAGTTTTGTTTACTAAATCTAGAGGATAGGAAGCGAATGCCTAGCACTTTAGTCGGGTCGGTGCGTATGGAAAATCCACGTAAGGGTGTTTGAAAATTACAATTGCAAACTAGTGCTGCACATGGGTTCCAGGTTCCTGAGGGAACAAATATCGTATGAACCTACTGTTGGTCACCAGTTTTCATGGGACTGTATCTCCTTACGTTTCTCCTCTGCCTTGTGGATTAGACATTTAAATCGAAGGCTCGGGGTGTGGCCTTATAAGAAAATCACCTGTGTAGATTCGGACAACCGATCCACGAAATTGAGTCACACATCCACCAATGTCTTCAGATAAGCAGTGTCTAGTGGATTTCAACCAGGTCTGTTGTGAGATAGTAACTCACTGAAAACATTGGTGGATTTGTCGCTCAATTTCGTGGATCGGTTTAAGTTATATATTCGTATTTATAATTCTATAGTAAATATATGAATTTATAGAAAGATAGAAAAAAATGTGCATCACAATATAATTCAATCATTCTAAATATCAAACAAGATTACGTAATGATTAAGAATGGGAGAGGGGGAGATGTTAGATACAAAAGATTATATTAACTCAGATCGTAGAATATAATGAAAAAAAGATAAACTACTGAATTATTTAAAGGCATATAATAACTATTGGAATTAAACATTCAGTGACCGAGTGGATAACGCGATGGCGTTTGAAGCGAAAGATACTGGGTTCGAGTCCCAGAGAGAACATCAACTCTGAGATGTTTCAGGTACATCCAGCTGACGAGTCCCATAGAGGATGAAACGCGCGTCATACTAGATTCCACTGCTAGCCACTATCCATCTTTGCTTACAATGCGTATGAATTAAGGCTATTTCAAGGCAATACACACATTATGCACATATGCCAATTAGAGAGAAACTGATTAGTCACAGTCCTAAACATCAATGGGAAGATTCAAACAAAAAATACTAAAATGAATTTTAAAAAATTCATAGTTTTGATTATGAATAATATGAAACTTACAAAGCTTTTTCTAAATGTTTCACTGCTTCATCAATTTCTCCTTCTTCATATGATAAATGACATAATTCCATTTCACAATATGGTAATAGATAAGTATCCATTTTTAATTTTCGTTTACTTAAAAAAGTCAATAAATTTAATATATATAAGTAGTATGTTATCAGTTTGACAAGAAAAATGATGATTTTGAAATGGTGGAAAAGATTTCTAGTTCAGGTGGATGATTTTGATGAAGTTTTGTTTTTCTGAGCTGGATGATTTGATCATGGAGCTTTCATCGTTCTTCTGAACGATATCATCAACACAAACTTCAGGTGGAAGTGAAGTGTTCGAAGTTCTCTAAGTGGAGTTCACAGCATGTCCTGTACACGTCGATGTTGATTGGTTCTTGTTGACCTTAAATCTGTCCTTATTTACTTCTTTGTTTTTGGTTGTAACGATGAAATATTTAAAGTGACCAAGAACCACTCAATATCGAGGTGTACAGGAAATGCTGTGAACCACATGTGGAGAAATTCGAACACTTCATTTCCACCTGAAGTTTGTGCTGATGATGTCGTTCAGAAGAACGATGAAAGCTCCACAACTAAACCACCCAACTCAGAGAACAAAACTTCATCAAAATTATTTCACATTATTGATTTATACAGTAATATAATGTTATATGATTCTATCTAATATAGGAAATACTTCTTCAGTATATATTGGTTTATAATAATTGTTAAACTAATGTCAATGTATAAGAATTCATATCAAATTGAACACTATTGAAAGATCATTAACATATATTTGATGTTAGATAATTAAAGATGATTCAGAGAAAGCCGTTTAGATACGTGTAGGTTTCATAAGATTTTGATACTCACTATCAGAACATCTCTTAAAGTTTAAGTTAACTATTATTGTTCATGTAATTTGAACTATTGCCAAATCAAACAAAGATGGACAGTGGCTGGCATTAGAATCAAGGGCGCGCGTCTCGTCCTATTTGGGACTCGTCAGCTGGATGTACCTACATCTCAGATTTGATGTTCACTCTGGGACTCGAACCCAGTACCTTTCGCTTTAAAAATTCCATTGCATTATCCACTCAACTTCTGAGTCCTGATAGCCACTTGCTTGTACAGGTACATCCAGCTGACGAGTCCCAAATAGGACGGAATGCGCGTCCTAGATTCTGCTGCTAGCCACAGTTCATTTTTACTTATAATGCTTGTGAATTAAGGTTAAATCGAGGCAATACGCACATATGCTAATAAGAGACTGATCAATTGCAGTCCTAAAAATGAATGGGAAGATTTAAACAGTCAATACCAAGTGTATCGCCAAATTGTTTCGTATTAACTTCTCATGAATACGAACTTGAGTAAAACCTAGATCCAAGAAGTTCTGATGACTACATCAACTGTGTTATCATCATAATCTCAACTGATTTTAAGTACTGACTATATTGTTACATTATCAAACAATAGTGATTAGCACTAACAACTAAACAAACATGAAATTATCATAGTTCAATTCGTAAACCGACCGTGTTTAGACTACAGTTAAATACTTTGAAATACTAGGCGTTATATCCTAGCGAAGACATGAATACGGGTAACTTCCGGGACCTATTATTGGACGATTATTCCATATATATATTCTTATTGTTTAACCATTAGAGTAATTAGATTATGTATATCTGTATATTCATCTTGATATTCATTTTGATCTATGAATTATTATTATATGATTTACTGTTCCTTAATTATATTCAATTTACTGATTATTGTATCCCACGTTCACAGCCACATTTGGCTTGATCTTGTACAAATATTATTTTCTATTTTATAGTGTGATGTGGTCTGTCTGATATATAAACCGAGTATACTTGAAATAAATGATTCGCATAGTAGAAGCTGTGATTGGTGTTCTGGATTCATTTGGAAGGGCTAGACGGGCAATGGACCAATAAGGACGCTAGACCGCTCATACTGGTCGAGCGTCATTGATTTGGCACAGTGTTAAGATCGGAAAAGTCGTATTTTGATTGGCAGATAATTCACCTGATAAAACGCCGGATATAACGAATTGACATACGGTCCATTCCTTATGTTTCTTAAATTCATAACATTGGGTGGACATTTCTTTCAACTATGAGGCTCCTTAATAGTGTACATCATCAATCCATTACCCACGAATCCAATCCATAATATTAGTTATGTACATGTGTCACTTTCAGTTAGGCTTAGTTTTAATTATCAATTTGGTTTAAGAATAATGAAACCATAACTTACGATTGTATAATTTCAGTGAAACACATATATGCTTGAAATGTTTGATCACGACATCTAAGACAAACTCCTTTAAGCATTAAAGCTAAACAATAATCATCATAAAATGTTTCACTTGTATCTAAGGTAAAACAAACAAACAAACATGATAAAAAGAAGAAAATATGTAAAGTTGTGTATAAATCATCCGATCTATATGAACAAGATCACTTGTAATGTTGTTGAAGGATACAGCTGATGATTCACAAAAGCTGTTAGTCGGTTGTTGTAGTTTCATGTTAGTTGGTAAACATCGGTAAGGTGTCACAATGGATTGATCACTGGATAGTGATCAATCGATTGTGATTACATCTCAGTCCTACAGGAGGTCGGTCGCGACCCGACTAGCTCAGTGGTAACGTCTCTGACAGTGAAGCTGAGTGATACGGGATCGAATCCGTCAGGGAGCATCAGTTCCCTCAAGATTATAGATACACCTTGCTGATGAGTGCCAAGTAGCACGAAACCCGGGTCCAGGGTTTCCTGTTGACCACCTTCAACCACCATCTAATCGGTAAGGTGTGCCATATTGAGAATCAAGCATGCTTCGTCGAGCCTCATCATCTTATATGTTAGTTTGCAATAATTGAGATTGCTAATAATGTTCTTTAGGACTCAAATACTTATAGCTGGTTAGTGACTGAATACCAACTGGTGTCATGATTGCCTAGTCTTTACTTTTAATGGAATTCAATCAGTTGAGCTGTAATTTGATCACTAGTCATAACGACAGCTTGCTATTTAGCTCCAGCTAGCACGAAATGTAGGTTCAAGCATTCCTGTTAAGTAACTCTGATCAATAAACACGAAAACATAATACATGTTAAGTAGATTCAATCAAACTGAACGCTTATTAATATTCAATGATCAACCAATAACCTGATCTCATCTCTTAAACGCCTGGAGATTAGTCTCTTAATGGCACATGTGAATCCTGTGTGGACTGTCTCAATATTGCCTTAAGTCACAAGCTTTATGAGTAAAGATAGATAGTGGCTAATAGTGGAATCCAGGATGTACACTACTTCGTCCTATTTGGAACTCATCTGTTGAATCCACCTTGTGCAATGTGATTATAAAAATAGAAAAACCTCATAATATGGAATAGATCTTACCTCTATTCTGAAATAATTCATTAATTTTATTTTCACATATCATAATAAATGCTGTGATAGCATCTGGTTGTGATTGAATCATTTTAAATCCATTCCAAATGAATATAAGTTCCTGTGTTCAATACAAAAAAAGATGAATGATATGCCCATTATTTTTTTATTATAAAATATTTTGTTACTTAAATGAAAGAATAAGTAGTATAATTGTGTTTGGAAAATATTTGTTAGCAACATATTATAATCGAAGGGCTTTGGTGGAGATTTTAGTAATTTTTATAGAGTTGAGATCATGATTCAATTAAAGCTAGACTACCATGGAATGCCGGCTCAGTGGTCTATCGGTTAAGTGCTCTGGCATGAGACTGATAGGTCCTGGGTTCGAATCTCGCTAGGCGGGATCGTGGATGTACACTGCTGGGGAGTCCATAATAGGTCGAAATGGTTATCACAATCGAGTTGAAAATAGGTTTATGCAATGTTATAACTTGTAGCCTTGTGCCCTGATAATATATCATGTATTGTTACTGCCACTTGAAGGACTATGATTTATCGACTGGACCAATAATGTATAAAACTCATACGAGCAATCTAGAGTCCTTATCGGTCCTTGTTTATCACCCAACCCTGCCTGTTAAGTCAATAACAGCCTCTGCGATATGAACCATGTATTTCAGACATACTGAGTTTATATACAAACCAAGTAGACCACAGTGTACCACAAAATAGAAAATAACGTTTGTACAAGATCTTTCCCAAATTGGTTATGAATGTGGAAGACAGTTATTAATAGATTGGAGGATAACTCGAGAATGGTAAATCATATAATAATAGTCTATAAATCAAAATAAAGCTTACAATGAGAGAAACATGAGTATGAATAGTTTAGTTACTTAACAACTATACAATAGTCCATAAATAGTCCTCAAAGGTTACTATCCTCATCAAGATATATCATCCAAGTATAATCATTATATTTTTGGGCTTTGATTCATGACTAATGTTCACAAATAATACATTTTATCTAACTAATTCAGTATGATATAAATTTTGTAATGATAATAGAATCACTGGTTAATTCTTGAAAAATGAATCGTAGATAGTTTCTAACCACGTGACAACTTCCATCTTACAAAAGTGTGAAAATGGTATCATAAGTGTTTGGTATGTCATATCTTAAAGTATCTTAATATTGGATTTTTTTCAACTCCTAATACACTACATAACAAGTGAGTGAGTGTTAGTTAGATCACGTTTAGAGAACTACATATATGTGAGATTGGATGGAATATTGTGGTGTGATCTACTTATATCCATATAAGTAGTATATGGTGATGTTCAGACATAGAATGTATTTTGGCAGAATATCGATAAAGAAAGGACACAAATGAAGCGCAATCGTTACGAAAATGCATGAACAATGAAATCAGAGAAGATGGTTTGATATTTACAGAATGAACAGTTAAGACTGAGACAATTGATTGATAGTGTGCAAATTAACTGTTTATTACTGTACGGTTATCAGAATTTAGTGAGATAGTTGGTAGTTAGTGCTTGAATACATTCGATTGTCCCCAGCTAGTGTTCCGTTCACTACAATATGACTATTGAGTAAATTAATTTAAGTCATAATTTTGAAGTAACGATAAAACTTTCACCTTGAACTATGCACAGTATGAGGAGCTTAGTAGCTTATTTATTTATTTTATTTATTTAAACACATACATATTGGTACAAAGGGGCACCAGATACATATGCTCCACACAAAACAATGAGAATAGGAAGAGGAAGGGGGAAGATGCGTATATACCAGAAGACTCTTTCAGCTAAGAAAGTTAGAACTACTCTTTATGAAGAAAGTAAAAGAAGGTTACATCAGTCTCGCCATTGGCTTCTATTCTGAGCCATATCTGATAACGTCTCTAGTCACTGTGTTGCACCATCGGAAAAATTTTTCTACTTTCATTATTGGTCATACTATTAGTATCCTAGTTCTAAGTGAACTGTATTATAAAAATACAGGGAACTATTGATTCCCAAAATGTTTCTATGGTGTACTTCAGTCCAGTAAGCTATACAAGTCAAGTTTACAGACCAACTAACAAATCTTTCTATTTAGACCATGAATTAATCAATGTTAGGTCACTACCTTGTCACTACCTGGTTGGTATCCGCGAGATGATAGCAATTGATGGTTAGAGACCTTGAATGACATGGCTCAAAATCGTTTACAATGATGAAGGTGCATCCACTCTTTGTGCTTAGCCAAATTCTAATCTGAATTCTTCATGTCCTTTCTTTTTTCTCTTTCCAAGTTTATTTCACTGAATTATACTCATTCAATAACATCTTCAAACCCTAATCTTTCGGATTATTGCTTATACTCTTACTACTTCTACCACTATAGGATTTGAATCGACAACTACATCTCTGTGCTAATGTGGTATGGCAACTCGAAGTGATATCCGTACGGAGTTCTACGTTGTGACTGACTGACGGACTAACTGAGGTCACTAGTGAAAACCTTTAAACAGTGAATGGCCATGTTGTTCTAGTATGAGACTCCTCAGCAAAGTATATCCATGATTTTCTATATAAACCAGAAATATATCACTAAGTTCAGGTCATCACAATGACTATCCAAGTAAAATATATTAGAATACATTATATTATTACTTATAATAATGATTAGATTAGAAATTCATGTATGAACTTACTAAAGCTGGAAGAGTTAATCTTTTATTCTGTGCAAAATATCGTGAAGATTTTCTTAAAGCAATTTTCTCAATTGGTAATGATCGACCACCGAAACGTTTTACCATATTCGGTATATCTCTATATAATAAAAGTATATTTATAGTGTTATGAAGAATATTATGGCAAGTAAAACACTGAAGAGTAGGTGTTTAAAAACATAAATATTATTATTTTATTTAAACATATAAATAATAAAACAAGGAGACATCAAGTGTGGGTACCCAAACCGAATCAGGTGTTTTTCTTAAAGAGACACAACCAAAGCTTTCGACCTGAAAGTCTAATCCATAAGGCAGTGGAACAATGTAAGGAGATGTAGTCCGATGGTAGCCGATCACCAATAGTAGCTTCATGCGACATTGGTTTCCTTAAGATCCTGGAACCTATGTGCAGCATTAGTTTGGAATTAGGGTTTTTCAACTCCCCTAGATGGATTCTCCTCGTCGACCAACCTGATTAAAGCGCCGGACATTCGCTTCTCATCCTTTCAATTTCGTAAAGAAAACTGATGCCTCGAGAATGCAGTGAATAGGACTTCGGTGTCAGTGTTCGTGTACGCGTGATCATGTGCCGAGTACTTCATAGGAGTACTTCACCGATATTTTATTTCTCAATAATTCAAATTTACAAACTTTTCAGTGATGAAAACCCAACATACTCATACTTTTAAAGAGCTGACTTCAAAATTCAACGGTATTCATCAAATAATTAGTGATAATGCTTGAAGATCAATTATACCAGAACTTCTTCAATTGATAATCATGCATAATGAAAACTTATCTAGATTAATTTATTCTCTAAAAAAAAAACTTCAATGATGTTTTCATGAATGTTCTTTATTAGTTAATTGATCAAACTATAATTCATGAATAACCTTTGAGTGACATTAAACTGACCTTGAAAGTGTTTAACTAATAACTAGAAGTGAGGATTATGGACCTGTTTGAGGATTTAGGATTAGGATTTACAGTTGAAGACTTAGGGTTAGGAATTAGATTGACGGTTTTGTTTTTCATGACGAATTGATATCAGCTATAATGTCAAAACTCAATTTAGTCAAATGGATTAATGAATTTCGCGCCAAAATCTAAGATCTGTTATCCTAACTTTGATTGGTTGACCTATAAATTATAGCCTCACCCAACCATGATGTAAGAACTGTCATGAATGTTTCCTATTGTTTGTAACGAACCCCTTATTCAAATAGTTTCTCTGTCTAAGTTCATAATTTGATTCATTTCAACACTTTTCATAATGATATTTCGTTCTCAACTCAAAAAGTAAGTTTAGATACATTAATCTTTAGAACTCAGTTTATTTTGAATCAATAATGAATAATGGTATGCCGGCTCAGTGGTATATCGGTTAAAGGTTCTGGCTCGAAACTGATAGGTCTTGGGTTGGAATCTCGCGAATGCGGGATCGTGGGTGCGCACTGCCACTGAGGAGTCCTATAATAGGACGAAACGGCCGTCCAGTGCCTCCAGGTTTTCCATGGTGTTCTAGCTTCAATCGACCAATGATTTCAACTTTGAAAAATAATGGTATAAATTGTTTACATTTTACACAGTCATTCATTGTTTCTTACTTAATTCAATGAAGATATTGTAGTTTTATTATTAATCAAGTAATTGAAGTTTTGAAATCACTTTTTAATTGAGCTCTTGTTGAAGTACCAGTCATCTAAGGTTTGTAAAACTTTAATGTTTAATAGTATTTAATATGAACATTTATTGAGTTTAAAGGTAGTTTCTTTTCAGAATACCATGATCAGTATAAGTGTGATGTGTGCTACGCACCCTGGTACTGTCAAGAGTGAGGAGAGTCCGCTCTCCCTCTCCAAATGCTCTCACATGGCCACGCGTATACAGCCTCTGCCAGGGAAGTCCTGCTCACTGCCTTCTCGTGGCAACGGTGTTGTTTACGAAATTGAGAGGACGAAAAGCGAATTTCCGGTAGGAGCGTTAACCGAGTTGGTGGACACGGAGGATCCACCTAGGGGAATTGGAAAGCCGTGATTCCAAACCAATGGTGCACATGGACTGCAGCACACTGCAGGAACAAATGGCGCATGAACCAATTGTTGGTCACCGGCTACCATGGGACTGCATCTCCTTACGATGCTCCACTACCTTGTGGATATTTACAGAAGGAATGGTCGAAATTGAGATATTCGATTGTACCCACTCGTGTTCTTGTTCACTACACTCTTCTTTATGAAATACCAGTCTGAATATATTAGTAAACTAAAATCCAAATGAGTAAAATCGCAATTAGGAGATTAAGCTATCGTATAATGTAGTCATAGAGTTAATCATACACAACAAATTGTTTTGTAATCTCTTCAACACTGAATTTTCTTTAGAAATTTAAGTTGTAATTAAACATTGAATCGGAGATTTACTTGACATTGCCTTGATTTATAAGCATTCTAAGAGACTGATCGATTGCAGTATTAAATATCAATGGGAAGATTCAAGTGAACAATACTAAGCGAATTTAAACATCATCCCAATGCACAAGCAAGTGGCTATCAGGACTTAGTAGGTAAGTTGATAACAAGATGGTGTTTGAAGTAAACGGTACTCGATTAGGGTTCCAGAATGAACATCAACACTTAAATGTAGGTACATCCAGCTGACGAATCCTAAATCGGACGAAATGGTGCTCAACCTGGATTCCACTTCTAGCCACTGTTCATCTTTATCAAATTGGAAAGCTTATAGATTCTTCTATAAGATGTGTTTAACTAAAGAACCTATTTAATATCAATAACTTACGTTAATAATTGATCAACTACTTCTTGTGGTTTTTCAATTATACCATCATGATTTTTTATATCAAATGCAGTACGATCTTCTATACTTTGTAAAAGGAAAGCTGCTTTCATATATCGATAAGATGCTTGACTCCATCGACTTTCTAATGATAATTTCTCTGTATATAAAATTGCTTTTTGCCAATCTGCTTGTAATCTGTAAATATGAAAAAAACATATTGCTCAGTATGAATAAATAGTTGAAATCATGAGTCAATTGAAGCTAGACCACCATGGAAAACCTGGAAGCGCTTAACCACTAGACCACTGAGTCGGCCGACTTCCAACGGTGTTAATGTCTAACTTCAACCAATCCACACTCGCGCGCGAAACCGACAGGTCTTGAGTTCGAATCTCTTGAGGCAGGATCGTGGATGTGCACTGTTGAGGAGTTCCACAATAGGAAGAAACGGCCGTCCAGGTTTTCCATGGTGGTCTTACTTCAATCGACTCATGATTTCAACTATATAAAATTACTAAAATCTTCACAAAACCGCCTTCTAATAAATTCAAATTGTTCTGCTTTCAAAAATTTGAATAATTAGTATTTTTCTTTTCAAACATTTCAACAATTCAAATCAATAATTTAGAAAATCTAAATCAATGTAGGCGGTTTCTGTCAACTGAAATTAGTCACTGAAGTGTATCTTCTATTTTTCAGAATGCCGACTAAACTTTCCATAAAATTCTAAGGAAAAGATAATCATGTCATTGATTACTACTCATTAACCAGTCAATATTTGCTTGGTTTTTATCATTTCAGTTCTTTATATAGTAAAATATTTGTTGTCATGGCAATTACAAGTATGTTTTCAATACAAAGTAAGTGTCGTGACAACTATTTACACCACATACTCGCTTCAATCCCATATCTTTACATTGATCTACCTCCCACTAATCTTTTTACAAATTACTTCGAATATATAGGAATCAACTTGAAATGTCTGTACTACACATTAGATTGATCAGTTTTATAGCCTTATAGGTTTTAATGTTGTTCATCACAAAACATTCAATAATACAAAGGTTATCCAATTTCGTAAACATATTCCAAAGAAGGTGGATAATAATAAGAATGTCATTATCATTATTACAATATCATATATGTCACTGAATGTTTTATTCATTCATGATCTTATATTAGTCATGATTGCATCTTGAAATCCTGTTGATGATCTTCAAAATACTCAACATTCACTGGCCGGATACTATCAGCAATAGCGTTTTATGGGAGTGGACAAACCAGCTTCCAGCTGATGGTGAAATTCAGTAAAGACGTTCGAAGTGGATAAGACATACATTAAGGAAATCATCAAACTGCATCACGAGGCAAGCCTCAACATGGAATCCGGAAGGGAAGCGGAAAAGAGGCAGGCCAAAGAACACATTACGCTGGGAAATAGAAGCAGATATGAAAAGGATGAATGTTAACTGGAAAGAACTGGAAAGGATTGCCCAGGACAGGGTTGAATGGAGAATACTGGTGGGTGGCCTATACTCCTCAACGAGAGGTAACAGGCGTTAGTAAGTAAGTAGTATTGATAATCTTTCGTATTACTTATCAGATCAAGTCTATTCAATTGATGAAGTAATTTTTAATTATTGAGTATTGTATAGTCAACTATCCCCATTAAATTAATTTATTCTTGATTAAAAAGTGCATTATTCTACTATTTACTACTATACAATCTTATCAACTTATCAGTTAGTTACGCTTGTTACACATCGCGGAGGTGCATAGGCCTCCCACCAGCATTCTCAATCCAACTCTGTTCTGGGCAATCCTTTCCAGTTCTTTACAGTTGTTTTTCATCCTTTTCATATCAGTTAGTAGTTAATTAACTTCACATATTTATTATACTCAATTGATGATATTCTAAGTTTATAACAAAGTTTACTACAATGATTTTCTAAAACTATTGTAGATGCAATGATTATAATTATCAGGTAGATTCAGAACATATGTATTACTCTACTTGTGGTGTGGTCTACTTATATCCATATAAGTAGTATATGGTGATGGTTAGATATAGAATGTATTTTGGCAGAAGACCAATAAGGAAAGGACAGAAATGAAGCTCAATCGGTACGAAAACGCATGAATAATGAAATCAGAGAAGACCGACTGATATTTGCAGAAGAAACAGTCGAGATTCAGACAATTGATAGTTATTTTGGTAATTAACTGTTTACTACTGTACGGCTATCAGAATTTAATGAGATATACTGTAATTTGTGTCTAAACACATTCGATTGTCCCCACCTGTGTTTTGTTCACTACATACTGAACCACTCTATCTTACTTACTTACTTACGCCTGTTACGTCTCGTCGAGGAGCATAGGCCGATCACCAGCATTCGCCATCCAACTCTGTCCTGAGCCTTCCTTTCCAGTTCTTTCCAGTTAACATTCATCCTTTTCATATCTGCTTCTATTTCCCGACGTAATGTGTTCTTTGGCCTTCCTCTCTCCCGCTTCTCTTCACCATTCCAAGTTAGGGCTTGCCTTGTAATGCACATTGGTGATTTCCTTAATATATGTCCGATACACTTCGAACGTCTTTTCCTAATTTTCTCTTCAGATGTAAGCTGGTTTGTCCACTCCCATAAAATGCTGTTGCTGATGGTATCCGGCCAGTTAATGTTGAGTATTTTGCATAAACAAACATATTTATAAATACTTTTACCTTCCAGATGATGGCCGTAGTAGTTCTCCACATTTCAACTCCATACATTAGGACTGTCTTGACGTTCGTATTGAAGATTCTCAGTTTGAAATTAGTTGACAGAGAGTTGTTTTGAGTTCCATATGTTCTTCAATTGTAGAAATGCTGCCTTTGCTTTGTCAATCCTCGCCTTTACATCTGCATTCGATCCTCCTTGCTTATCAAAGATGCTCCCCATCTCTTCCAGAGTTTCGCCATCAAGTGTGATTGAGTTGGTGTTCTCCATGCTGCATTTGAGAATCTTGCTTTTTCCTTTGTGAATGTGGAGGCCTATCGATGCGAAGGCTGCTGCTACATTTGCTGTCTTCATCTGCATTTGTTCGTGTGTATGAGAGAGGAGGGCTAGGTCATCTGCGAAGTCCAAATCATCTAATTGATTCTGAGAAGTCCATTGTATTCCGTATTTCCCTTCAGATGTCGAATTCTTCATAATCCAGTCAATCACTAGAAGGAAGAGGAATAGGGAGAGTAGACAGCCTTGTCTGACTCCGGTCCACTCTATCTTAGATACAAGTATATTTAAAATTGATACATTCTAACAAATATTGATCAAAATTTAGGCCTCAATATTAAAAAATTACTCGATAAACTTACGCATAACACCATATTAATTCCCAATAACAAAGATGATGATAATGTATCCAATCTGATTGTGAATTTATTGAACGTTGAAATAATATAATAGCCTATGGAGCAAATGTTTAAAAATCAATGTAATATTGATTAAGTTCTAATCTGTATATTGTAACATTTACTTTTAACAAATTGTGGCGAGAAGATCTAGGATACAACTTACTGAAGACAATTGGTGAATGGTAGCTCAAACTTCGTGGATTGGTTGAAGTTAGACATTAACACCGTTGGTCTAATGGTTAGGCTCTCTCGCGCGAGACTGATAGGTCTTGAGTTGGAATCTCGCGAATGGGGGATCGTGGATGCGCACTGCCAATGAGGAGTCCTATAATAGGATGAAATGATCGTTCAGTGCTTCCAGGTTTTCCATAGTGGTCTACCTTCAAGTGACTCATGATTTCAACTATGAAAAATATCTACAATATTTCTTGAAAACAGCCTAACCGGATCCTAACAACACTGGGAAACATTTTATCTTATCAGTATTGAATAGAACTTTCTCAGAAATATTTAGAAACTGAATAATCACATGTCAAATTGTTGACTGGATGATTATCTAACCTTCTAATATGTTTAGTAGGATTCCAGAGGCTTCCGGAAGCCCAATGTCATCTGAAATACTCTTTCCATATTTTACGCCCTTTTTTTTCTCGTGCTCAAGTTGTCGTGTAAATTTCGCATGAGGTTATTAGAACAGCCAAAGAAATCGATTCATGCAGTCATTTAGAAGATTTATCAATTTCTGTACCATTTTAAGGTCGTGTGAAATGATTCGAAAAATAATGTAAGCTAATACTGATTAGTAACATTGGTAATGGTAAACTGGTGTAGTGATAAATTTTGGATTTTATGGTTGAATACATGAGTCAATTGAAGCTAGAACACCATGGAAAACATTGAAGCATTGGACGGTCGTTCCGTCCTATTGTGAAACTCCTCAGCAGTGCGCATCGATGATCCCGCCTCACGAGATTCCAATCTAGGATCTATCAGACTCGCACGCGAGCGCTTAACCTCTAGAACCCTGCTGATAAAATTTGGCTTGTAATATATCATTATTCGTACAATCAACATATATTTTTAAACAGTTCTTCATATGAAGTTATACAAACGTATAACATTTACTATAGCGTAATATTTCTCGTAACTTGATCAATAGCATCTGATCAGCACTAAGAAAGACACAATATACTTGACATGTGAAATATACCTATCCTAAATTCATTCTTCTATTTGACTTATTCTATTATTCTGTAAAGTGAATTAAATGAACAGTTATAATATGAGGATTAGCAAGTGATATGCTTGATGCTAATTACGATTTCCTCGGTAAACGAACGAAGATTAATGACACAGTGACAAGATAGCCTATTCTAATCCGTTTTCCAGTAACTTGCTAACTAAAGTGAGAAGTCCAAAACGAGAGTGGGAAAAATATATACCGTAAGCAGAAATAAGCACAAGTAATCACTATAAGAAGAAATCAAACGTATATGTACAACATAAGATTGCCCTTGGGAAGCGTTACAAAATAGCATACTAAAAGATACAACGGACGAATAGAGTTTAAGATTTTCCCAAGTGGGAAATATGCCTTGAAGGTGAAAGGAGCACTTTTGGCGCAAAAACAAGGAAATTCAAATTTTCAAAATAAAATTACAAACATAAGTCATTTGTCAAGTAAGTTCTAGGGATTTAACATCCCCAACAACAAGATCTATATTTCATTAATATTACCATAGGATCATATTTGAAGTTAGATTGATAGGTCACAAATGGGTAACTATTGTGTGACTAAAGGTTCAAAGCTTATATCTATCTTAATTTTCTCCAATGAGAAGATTAAGATAAATTTTTTTGAAAAAAAATGTATGAAATTGTATCCAATTTCTAACGATAATATTCAAAATACATATCACTGTTATATCCTAGCGAAGACATCCGTACGGGTAACTTCCAGGACCTATGAATGGACGATTATCCTATATATACTCTTATTGTATAACTATTCAGTGATTAGCAGAAGCTACAATTGGTATCATTTAACTCAATTGGAAAGCCTAGGCGTACAAAAGACCAATAAAGACACTAGACTGCTCATACTGGTCGAACGTCATTGATTTGGTATAGTGCCAAGATTAGACAAGTCATATTTCAATTGATGGATAAATCACATGATAAGACGCTGGACATAAAATCAATCATAACAATCAAAACAATAAAAAAAATATATTGATTCACCTTCTGTAAATTTCCAGATATTTCTTCTAAACGACCAGCTAATAATAAGAATATAGCACTATTTGGATATATAATAGACCAATAATCTAATAATTCACGAGCTTCTTTCATATGCTCTGGTTGTTCAGAAGCTTTTGCAAAAGAAAAAACAAACAAATAATTGGATAAACATTCAATTTTAATATGATGTAAACCATCATTCTTTGAATTCCAAGACAAAATTAATAGATGATGTAAAGTTCAAATCACGTCTGTTATGATATAGGAACTCACTGAAGACAATTGGTGAACGGTTGCTCAACTTCTTGGATCAGTTGAAGTTAGACATTAACACCGTTGGATGCCGGCCGGCTTAGTGGTCTATGGGTTAAGTGCTCCAGCGCGAGAATTGTAGGTCCTGGGTTCAAATCTCGCGAGTGCGGGATCGTGGATGCGCACTGCTGAGGAGTCTCATTATAGGACGAAACTGCCATCCAATGCTTCCAGGTTCTCCATGGTGGTCTAGCTTCAATTGACTCACGCTTTCAACTATGAAGATGAAGTAAGCGCATAAGTAGCAAAGTTTTTTCTTATTCATCAGTCTTCATGACTCTCTTATACTAATACTAACAACAAAAATGATAAAGGCTTATTCACTAATGACTAAGTCTACAAAGTATATTTCATCATCATCCTAATATGTAGTCCCAATCTGTAGAGTTTAATCAGATATAAATGGGATTAGAAAGATAAACTATAAGATAATAATTCTATATATTTGAAATTATGAGTCAATTGAAGCTAGAACACCATGAAAAACATGGAAGCACTGGACGGTCGTTTCGTTCTATTATGGGACTCCTCAGCAGTGAGCATCCACAATGCTGCCTCACGACATTCGAACCCAAGACTTATTAGATAATAATTGAATGTCCTCACGATAAACTACTAGCCAAGTTCAATATTTCATCAGGTTGTAAATGTGTACAACTGAGGAGTCCAATATATTTGGATGAATCAACTGTCTATTACTTGCTGATTTCCAATTATTATCTAACTCTTAATGAATTTAATAAAGTGGTTTATTTTATAGCTGAGATCATGATTCTATTAAAGTTAGACCACCATGGGAAACATGGAAATACTGGACGGTCGCTTCGTCCTATTATGGGACTCCTCAGCAGTGCGCATCAACGATCCCACCTCGCGAGATTCAAACCCATGACCTATCAGTCTTGTGCGCGAGCACTTAATCACTAGACCACTGAGCCGGCCGGCATCCAACGGTGATAATGAACTATAATACACATTAACTTAAAGATATGATCCTTAACCCTAAAATTTAGTTTAATTCCAATTTCATATCATTTGTACAGATTGTGAACAAGTCTCAAGTTAAAATGAAGTATCATTTCATCAGTCCTTGATTTTTAATAGTTCTCTTCAATCAATGTTAATTTGTGGATCGTTATATCCCGACGAGAATTATGATTACATCTTTTGGGGCTTCAAATGCATCAACATGCCATAGTTTATTGGAAACAAATAAGACAAGATGTAACAATTGGTGATTGAGATGAAAAAGAATTCCACAGCCTCAATCTTCAAAAACAAACCAAGATCAGATAGTAATTGGACAAAAATCAGTGTAATTGTTATATCCCGTAGAGATTTATGAATGATAACTTTTGAGAACTATCATATTGATCATATGATCAATATGATATGTATATTTCCTATTGTATACTTGCTAAGTAACTAAACTATTCATATTCGTGTCCCTCTCATTATAAGCTTCATTTTGATCTATGAACTATTATTATACGATTTATCATTCATGAATTATCCCAAGTCTATTGACTATTGTTCTCCCTATTCACAGCCACATTTGGCTAAATCTTGTACAAATGTTATTTTCCATTTTATTGGTACGGTGTGGTCAGTCTGTTTGGTATATAAACTCAGTATGTTTGAAATGCAAGGATTCATACCACAGAGGCTGTTATTTATTTTCTGAACTTAATTGGCTGGGCTAGACTGAAAGCAGAACTGATAAGTACTAAAGACTGTTCATACGGTTTTCGTGTATCATTAGCTCTGATCGATAATTCACAGTTCTCTGATTGGCGGGGATCAGCACGTTCATTTATCAAACAGGGCACGCATGCACTCACATGATATAACAGTAATTATTTCGACTAATCAGCATACAGTATTGTCGTTGGTGTTTATGATCGACAATGGTTGTTAATTCTCTATACAGTATTTCTTATCACTGTATTGATTCATACAGAAATATAAAATGACTCTCTTTTTTGATCAATTGCAGTTGTTATTTCAGCGACAAGAGCAACATTTTAAAAACAGTAAGTTGGAATCTATAGACAAATTACTCATACGGCTATTGAATCCTCCATCCTTTGGAGATGTGATGGAAGTTAATGAATTAATTTCTAAATTGTATACAGAGCTGGAAAATGATTACAGTATGAATGAAGATGTTGGTGAAAGTCTTCATGAATTCTTGACAAGCAGTAGCAGTTATATATGATCTACTCAGTGATCCACTAATATCTATTTCAGTGACATGCCCTGTAGTGGTATTTAAATCTGATTATCCTCAAAACACAATGTACAAACACTGACTTGTTTAGCTCATAGAAAGATGATGTCTTATTGTTGTAGCTTTGTTAAATTCCGGTTCTTCTAATGATTTACATATTTTTGATTAAATTTCTTATATAAAGAAGAAAAAATATGTCAGGTCAATCAAATGTTGATCAAAAACCTAATTACATTTTGATAGATACTAGATTCTCAATGATGAGTATGTTTCCGAAGAATCAAACCCTGATAATCCAAGATCAAATGTCGTTTATCATCACCATTTAGTCATCTCTAATGGATTCTCTATAAAATGCAAGAACTATGTTTTAAATAAAATCACTTGGAGACATGAGGATCATATACTATTTCAAGAGGGGGGGGAGAATGAAGTCAGCATCTAAACTTCGAAAATGATGAACATATCTGATTCTCTCATTTTCAGCGGAAGTAGAAGAAGCACAAAGACAACAAGACATCCTCAGCAGTGTACATCCATGACCTCGCCCCCGCGAGATTCGAACCCAGCACCTACCAGTCTCGTTTCAGAGCACTTAACCGATAGAACAACGAGCCGACATCCATAGGGTTAATGTCTAACGAAACGGCCGTCCAGTGCTTCCAGGTAATCCCTAGTGGTCTAGCTTCAATTGACTCACGCTTTCAACTATGAAAATACTAAATCTCCACAAAAAAACCTCTTCTGATAACAATAAGATATAACATGAATAGAATTAAATTTATAATAAGGTAAACAATACACCAAAAAAGTCGTAATAATTCACATAGTTCAACTTACATACACTGACAACACTGTCACCTACAAATATAGAAGATTTATAACTGATTTAATTGATTTGAAGAAAATCTTATTCTAATATGAAACAATTGTTCAGTTGAAATTAGTATTCAATGGATTGTACTTAGCTAACTAAGTCAATAAACAATGTTTTCTAATGTAAGAATGAATTGAAGAGAAGCTAAAGATGACCAAATCATCGTGTTATAGTATCAGTTTATGCACTTCTTGAAAGTTGAAATGAATGAGACTATAGTTTATGAATGAGTCAATGAGAAGCGTTTGAGGGATTTCAAATTCACTGAGTCAATTTCAATACTTGATGTTTATGTACAATAGGTTAATGAATGTAGACCAAATGGTTTGAGTCAGCATAATTATCTTAACTAAGTTATTTTAGCTGAGTTACAGGACTAGGAATCAATTACATTAGGATGGATAAATTTAATCTTCAGTTGTAAAATTATTTTACACTTATTACTACACAAATTCATTTTTTCTTCTTGAGTCATATTGGTTTCCTACTACCACTGGTAATGTTATAACTTCTATGAATTTGTCCTGTTCTTAGTGTGGGTTTGTTCTCTCAGCTGGATGGTTTGATCGCGGAGCTTTCATCGTCCTTCTGAACGACATCATCAACACAAACCCACCTGAGCTACAAATCTTCTCCACCATATCAAAATTTGTCCTGTTTATTTCATCTCACTGTACTGATATAGTATATCAGTTTGAATCAATGAATATATGTGCCATATCCTAACTTGTTTTTATTGCGTTAATAAATACTTATTTACTAAATGATGATCTATACAAGACAGTGTCATGGGCCCCATTCGAAAATTGTAATTAGTCTATCATTTCACCACATATTTCTGCAATAATGAAATTACCGTACGATGCCTGGGTGAACGCCATATACTGTGCCGTGATCAGTTCGCAAGGGTTGACAACAAAACTGCTCGCGGTATGAAAGTGATGAGAAAACATCGTCCATGAAGACTTATTTATGAATTGATTTGAGTAGTTGATATTCATTCAGCGTTTGGAAGCTATTGGACTACTGACTGAGGTCATCGCATTTGTAAACTACGGCATTTATGAGCTTTGGCTCACGCACTCTATATATCCAAGTCACTTATAATTGCGAGTGGGAGCACCTATGCTTATGTGTGTCCCATTGAGTGTGTAGGCCTTGATTTATGTATTCTATACACGCATGTGACATATACTTTAGGCAGCTTGCACCTATATGAGTCTGTGTACTGTAGGATGTAGGTATCTTTGATATGTAGGTTCTATATATACGTGTAACGCACACTTGCGATAGTATCATATCCCATACTGGTGTATTCATTATAGCTCATAACACATTTGGGACGTTCTACAAGTTTCCGAAAGTGATAAGAAAGTGTAGACCATAACGTGTCCATCTGTACTACAGAAAAGGTTGGACCGTAAATTGTCTTCCTGCAGTACAGATATGGAAATCCCTAATTAGATGTTAAAAAAAATGCAGAGTGAGCTACAATGTATGCGTTTACTTTGCTTTCTTCAGTGCTCCAGTACGACTCTCTTTACAAGGCTCTTCTCCTATCCTGAAGAGTCAAACGGCTTTCCCTGATCAGTTGGGTGGGAGTACTAGTACCATATAGCAAAGTCTATTAAAGCTGATGAAGTGATAATTTCGAAGATATGCGAATGTAGGATTCAACCTATATTATTAATCTTTGACTGACCATTTTTTAAAATTCAGCTATCATTTATTTATTTCTTTATTTCAACAAATAAAGATTGGTACAAAGAGGCACCAGAAATATATGTGCCACACAAACCTCATTTGATTTGTGTGAGGGCTGTAATACTGCCCAGGTGCCCAAACTGAAGCAGGTGGTTTTCTTAAAGGGTCACACAAAGGGCCTTAGACCTAAAGATCTGATCCACAAGGTAGTGGAGCATCGTGAGGAGATGCAGTCCCATGGTAACCGATGACCAACTATTGATTCATACGCCATTTGTTCCCTCAGGATACTGGAGCGCATGTGCACCGTTGGTTTGGAGTTAGGGTTTTCCAACTCCCCTAGGTGGACTTTCTATATCCACCAACCCGGTTAAAGTGCCGGAAATTTGGTTTTCGTCCTCTCAATTTTGTAAACAACAGTAATGCAACGAGAAGGCAGTGAGTAGGACTTCCCTGGCAGAGGCTATATATTTGCGTGGCCACATGAGAGCATTTCGAGAGAGAGAGCGGACTCTCCCCACTCTCGGCCGTACCAGGGCTAACCTATATGCATTATTTTGTATACATAACTATAAGTGACTATTTAAAAGTAAATGTCAACACAGATAAACCAAGTTTCAGTGCGTCCAATTATCTTATCACGTAAATCAATGTATGATTCCTATCCAACCATTTAGGATATTTTATTTCACTCTCTCAATAATTTCTTCGGCGAGACTATAATTTATGGACGAGCAAATCAGATACGTCTGAGTAATTTCAAGGTCACGGCACCGATTTCAGTATCTGGTGCTCATGTACGAACGGTTCATGGAGAATTTTAAAGAAGACTTGACAATGAAGCGGCTTCAACAAATGAGACTACTAAGAAGTTCCTGTATTTGTGATTGCGTGTATTAAATGAGTTGTAGACCTTGTGCAGACTAACGTGATATTGTCCTTTGATGTAATATATGTTGAAGGAAGACGTTTGCTAGAATAGGAATCTTTATCGCTATATCTAGATTGAAACTAAGGCATATTATAATAATTACTGCGAACTGCATAATAAAACTGCATATAAAAGAAGTGTATCCGCGTTAATTCTTTAGTTCTCCTGTATAATAACTGTCTTATGATTAGCTAGTACTTCTCAAGGTCATTTAAGATTCGTTCAAAGGTCGTTCATAAATTATAGTCTCACATTTCTTCCCTCTGCTGATGTTGAGTTAATCTAAAAGTTCTGTACACTTAAAAGATTTGAGAAAGTATCCTTGCACACAAGTTAATAAATGCACCAAATTGTTGTGTTATCTCTATTTCACTTAGATACAACACTATACTTTCTTAGTTGTTATTAGGAATACAAATTTTATTTTATTTATTCAATGATAACATTATGATTTTGCATTATGTTAGAATACTACTTACCTAACATATGAGTAGCATATAAATCATATGCTAATAATAATAGAGCGCATAATGGACCACGTAATGAATCTTTCATTCCTGCACCCATTCTTAACTGTTCTAAACCGAATTGCTGAATATATAGAAAATAAAGTGTAATATAATTAAAGTGAAATGATATCCTATTTCAAGATTCAATGTTAAAATGATCAATGACACGAACAAACTCATAAACACACACACGTTTTTTCCCAAACACTCCCTGTGTAGCAGCTGATTGAAGATGAAAAGATTTTGGTGTATTTGAAGATTTTAAGCAAATAAAACGAACCGATTGATGAGTCGGTCGTATTCATCATAGATTTCATTTGGGATAGAATTTGAAATCAGAGAGACTCAGGCAGACATTTCATTTTAGTATACCACTAATTAACTCCGCCTGTAGCTCTTATAGAGTTACTGCCGGTCCCAAACCCGGTTAAAGGAGGAGGGTTGAGCATAGGGTTAGCGACCAGCTCCCAGAAGAACAGTAAATTAGGAAAAGACGTTGGAAGCGGATCAGACACACATTAAGGAAATCACCAAACTGTATCATGAGGCAATCCCTAACTTGGAATCCAGAAGGGAAGTGGAAAAGAAGAAGGCCAAAGAACATATTACGCCGGAAGATTGAAGCAGATATGAAAAGAATGAGTAACAACTGGAAAGAACTGGAAAGGATTGCCCAGGACAGAGTTGGTTGGAGAATGCTGGTTAGCGGCCTATGCTCCTTGACGAGGCATAACAGGCGTAAGTAACTAAGTAATAACACTATTTAGTAGTTTTTACTTGTAGCTGATCATTCCACTAGTGAATTCAAAACATTCACAAATTTCATATAAGAACTTGTTACTTGTGGAATTCAAACATATTGTAGATGAAACTAGTGCAGACAATAGTAATGGATGATCTATGAGCCTCATCACGATCTGATTGAAATTAGAATTGTCGGACCATTGGTTCTTATGGTTAAACTCTTTGTGCATGACTTGAAATTTGTGGTTTCGATTTTTGCTAGGTTGGTTGATATACACTGTTGTCCAGCTCTCTCTGGTTTATGGTTCTACGACAGTTAAGACCAATCTGTGATGAACACAACACATTGACTGAACTCATCTCCACAAGACTCTTCTAGCTAGACTAACTCATTAGTGAGCAATTAATATCGTTATTAATGACTGAATTCTATTCATGATGTTTCAATATATCTTAAAATTATCTTACGTAATCTATATTGCGAATTCATTTGGTATTGTTTGTTTGAATCTTCCCATCGATGTGTTAGGACTGCAACTGGTCAGTCTCTAATTGGTATATGTGCATACTGTGCGTATTGCCTCGATATAGCCTTAATTTACAAGCATGGTAAGCAAAGATGGATATTGGCTAGCAGTGGAACCCAGTTTAACGCGCGTTTCGTCCTATTTGAGACTCGTCAGCTAAATGTACCTGCGTTTCAGACTTGTTGATGTTCACTCTGTGACTGGAACCCAGTACCCTCGCTTCAAATGCCATCGCGTTATCCACACGGCCACTGAGTCCTGATAGCCACTTGTGTTGTTGGTAATTGACAGACAGAATTCACGATGTAACCAATACTATTGGGTCATTACTCAATGTAAATATCTGAGTTTTACAGGAAATGAGTGGCATATTTAGCACACACTGTAACTTTGTCGTGCTCATTAATGTCATTTGCGTGAACCGACCCATCAATATTAGGAATTGAGTAAAAAATAAGTTGTTCTACCCAACGTTCCTAATATTCAGTAGTTATAAAGTATCCAGCCAATTCGGTCATTTCATAGTTCGTTTGGTCGAAAACTGCCAAAAACTGGAGATTAATTTTCACTTAACGTTGTATTTCAAGCGCCTAAAGTTATTTCGAGCTGTTTCCTATGAACATGTCCGTGAAGCTCAGAAAAAGATGAAGGATGAAAGCTACAAATGTGTTGAAAGTTAGGGCTCAAACTAATAGCTCTAATGAAAATTATACCCTAATACACAGCATTTTCCTTGCAAAATAATTAAAAAAGGGAAGTAACTGGAACGGCACAGTTGTTGAAGATCGATGGCATTGCAGATAATTTCAGTCAAACAACATCATGAAGATTATGAAAATAACTTCTCTAAAGTATTTGCAGTAAGTTGTCTCACCTAATCACAACACTGAATGTAGTGAGCAAGGACACAAGTAAGGGCAACCGAATGTATTTGAATGCAAAACTACAGAACGTGGTAGTAAAATCTAAAAATCATATAGTAAATAAATAAATTAATATATTTGTAATATCCCAATGAGTAGAAAAATTAGATTTTCTGACGTTTCGTGACTTAGTGTAAGCCACTTCTTCAGAGAATAAATAACCAAATTAACCATAATCCAAGTTTAAATAGTACAACGGAACAATCCAAGAATATTAGGTGAGATCAATCAAAAAACAGGTCTGATTAGATCAATGTCATGTCATTTCATTTCGGTCAAGATGATTCATAAGGGATATGTATGTAACTTTGTGTGTATGTATGCATTGTTAATGACGAAAAATGTGTGACCTTTATAATGATAAAGGATAGAGTTTAATTTGTAATGTAATGGTGTGAAATTGTAAATAATATTAGACTGGTTGACTAGGTTAGATAGTGCAAGTGGGATGTATGGTAAGGCCTTCCTTTCTATTGAGGGCAGTGGGATTAAGCATTATATGGAAAGCTTCCGCTACTCTTCTTTCTTTGTGATTGGAAAAACCTTTCTGTAGTATTTTGATGTTTTTGAAATCAATTTGATGATTACTGAAAATGCCATGAACCGCTAATGCCGATTTAATTTGAAGTCTATCTAGTTCTACAGGATTATTAGGAGGTTTCTTTGTGTACCTAATATGTTCTTTGGTGCGAGTTAAGATTTCGCGAGATGACTCTCCAATATAGAAGGCATCACAATCGACGCAACCTAATTTGTAGACCCAGTTCTGTGTAGACATGAATGGTATTTTTTCTTTTAATCGAACTAAAGTATTTCGAAGAGTGTTCGTTGTTTTGTAATATACTTTAATTCTGTGTTGTTTTAAGATTCTTTGGAGTTCTTCAGTTGTGCCATGACGGTATGGTAAAACTGCAGTACCAATCCATGGCATTTCATTCGAATTCTTATTATTATTGTGTACTGAATTGTCTTGTTTTAATAAGCTTCTGATAATCTTCATCGGAAAATTATTAAATTGTAAGATGCTAATTATATTCTTTTGTTCTTTTAGTTTGTCCTCTTCTGAAGAGATGATCTTGTTGGCTCTTCTAACAAGATTTAAGGCTAATGAAATTTTAGCACTGAAAGGATGTGCTGAATGGAAGTAGATGCGATTCTTTTTCTGGTAGTTGTGCAATTATTGGCTCTATAATTGGAGCAACTTCAAGAGTACTGAGTGGTTTTCTATGTAAGTTGAAATTTAATCCTTTCTCCAGTAGGGTGACTTCATGATTCGTTAAGTTTCTGTCAGACCAATTATGAACAATTCTTAGATCATTGGAATTAGATTTTATTGCAGACGTTTTCTTATCTTTCTTCCTTTCTTTGATTTTTTCGAATTTTTTAATTTGCCGACGTTTTGATGAATCTAGATAATAGAGTTCTCTTTCAATAAACAGGTTAGAAATCGCGGTTTGTAAATCTGTAGGAATTAAAAGCTTCAGTAGATCATCTAGGTTTTTTATTCGTTCACGATATTTTTCAAGTAAATATGTACATTTGTGAATACGTTCTCATAAAAATATTCGAGATGAGCGTTGAGAAGTTTGGATAGATCTCCAGGAGCGCTCTGGAGGTTTTACAAAAAGAGATTTCGGAATAATGTTGTCATGTAAACATCGTTTATTAAATATTCTGTGATTGTACCAATTGCATTTACACTTGGATAATTTGATCCGATTATTAATGAGTTTGTAGGTATCATTACCAAGTTTTGATTTGATAATTTTGAATAAATTGACCATATGAAAGGATCAATCCATTAAATTCTCAAACGATTAAAAATAAAGTCAAATCAGATACAAGTGAACATTTGAAAGAGCTAAAACCAGTTATTGGAGCTTCGCTTTGGTTTGCTCTGTATCCCAAATCATGTAATACTTCACGATTTTATGGTTTACCGAAAATTCACAAACCAGATATTCCTCTAAGACTGATAGTAGATTTTACCAACACACAGACTTATGCTTTATCTAAATATCTGAGCAGCATATTAAAGCCACTACAGTTCGACATACACAATATGATTAAAGACACATATGACTTTAAATCAAAATTATCGGAATTAATCATCGAGAAGAATGAAGTCATGGTAAGCTTTGATGTCGTATCTTTATATACTAGTATTCCGATTGATATATGCTTAGAATTCATTAGTGGCTTACTAGAGAATGACATTACTCTGTCGGACAGATGTCCTTTAAGCATCAGTTTAATCATGAGATCGTTAAAACTTTGCTTAAATTCAACTGTATTCACCTTCAACGGAACGCTATACAGACAAACAAATGGTGTAGCAATGGGTTCCCCTGTGTCCCCGATTGTTGCCAACCTTTTCATGACACACATAGAATCAAAGATTTTCACCAACCACATTAAACCACGAATTTCGCTTAGATATGTAGATGACACATTTGTAGTGATAATAAAGACTCATCTAAGGTCATTTTCAAAACAGATAAATACACTTCCATCTCATATCAAATTCACGAATGAAAATGAAAATGAACATGGTGAGCTTCCGTTCTTAGATTGTTTAGTGAAAAGAAATATAAATGGAGTTCTAAATGTATCCATCTACCTAAAGCCTACACATTCTAATCGTTACATCGACCTCCATTCTGCACATCCTTTCAGTACTAAAATTTCGTTAGCCTTAAATCTTTTTAAAAGAGCCAACAAGATCATCTCTTCAGAAGAGGACAAACTAAAAGAACAAAAGAATATAATTAACATCTTACAATTTAATAATTTTCCGATGAAGATTATCAGAAGCTTATTAAAACAAGACAATTCAGTACACAATAATAATAAGAATTCGAATGAAATGCCATGGATTGGTACTGCAG